AACTATGACATACACCTATCTACTGGGGCTTTGGGGAGAAAAAGGAGGAAGATTGGCAATAGATGTTGAGCTCACGGCCAGTCTTCCTCAGCAGAAAGAGGAGGATTGGCATGGATGTTAGCTCAGGGCTGATCTTCCTCACACACACACACACACACACACACACACAACAAGAAATGAAGTAACATAAAATATGCATAAATGAAGAATTTGACTATAGCGTAAGAAGAGACTGTGATTGGGTGAAACCTGTCTATACTTCAAGGAGGAAGATGAGCTAGGTATCAATTACTTTCAAAACAAAGTAATTTTGGGCTCTGGGAACCATTTTTACTGAGAGAAAAGGAAAGCACAAAGTAGTCTCGAGGTCTGCAAGTGACAATATAGGCCACAAGCATAGTATTTGAGGGTCACAAGCTACCCACTTTACTCCTCCCAAATATAACTGTAGGAATCTAACAGAACCATCCAAACTTCATGAAATCATAACAGAACTGATGAAATTGTTACTTTAAAATTTTTTGGGACAATATAACTTTTTAAAAATTAAGGTAGAGAATAAAATCCTACTTCTACTACCACTTGCAAATAGTCTTTGCCCCCTACCACAATACATTTTAGCCTTTAACTTAAGCATGTGGCATATAATGGCAGGAAGTGAAGCAGCCATCTTGGTCCACAAAACGGAGCTGTATGATAAGCATGGCAGAGCAACAGGTTAGGAGCTTGGGCTCCTGTCCACTTTTTGTAGCAAAGCTACCCAATCAGCTCACAGCTCATACTTTTACACAGAAAAGCAATAAACTTTTTATTTTATTAAAAAAAATGTTCTAGGCCACAATTATTTTTCAGTTTCTCTGTCACACCAGCCAAACCTATATCTTAACTAACACAAATTACAAGTTGAGGAACGGGGGCTTTGTCAGTAATACAATGGCATATAAAATGTTTATAAGAAAAATAAAAAGAGGTCTAAATTAGGGAAGTGGCAATGAGAGTAGAAAAATGAAGGAGAAAGCTATTTTGGAGGTTGAGGCTACAGATTATACAGCTGGGCAAAGGGAGAGGTAAGAATTTGAAGTTTTAAATCCCAGCCACTCAGAAGATGCCTATGCCGTTAATCAAGGTAAGATACATAGAAGAGGGAGAGTTGTATACAAATTGAGTAAATCTGTCCAGTAAATCTGTGAGAAATAAGTGTTAAGTGCTCAAGAAAGCAATACTTGACATAGAATTAGGGCTCATTTGCACAAAAATGATAATTTAAGGAGCAGGAACAAATGTGATTACAAAAGAGAAGTCACAGTAAAGGCAAAATTTTAGTGTTTCAATGCCTCCATTTATTTATTTATTTATTTATTTTTGGTGAGGAAGATTGGCCCTGAACTAACATCTATTGTCAATCTTCCTCTTTTTGCTTGAGGAAGATTGTCCCTGAGCTAACATCCACGCCAATTCTCCTCTATTTTGTATGTGGGGCGCCACCATACCATGGTTTGATAAGTGGTGTGTAGGTTGGCACCCAGGATCCGAATCCCTGAACCCCAGACCAGTGAAGTAGACTGCACGAACTTAACCACTACGCCACCGGGCCAGCCTCAATGCCTCCATTTTTTTTAAAAAAAGCCAAATATATAATACTTTAACCATTTTCTCCATTTTCTTCTTTAAGTGAAATAATCTGAATGTCCCACTGTTTATCTCACAAACATTTTCATTAGTTAACGGGCATCCTCATGATTCAGGCATTCAATCAATTTTATTGATTAGCTGAACACCACAACCTGCAGTGGTCATTTATACAGTTTTAAATCATTTTTTATTTTTAGTCACATTGTTTAATTTATCCCCATAATGGACCATATTAGTTAAAGACCAGAAAAGTGACGGCAAAATGAACTAAATTAATGAGGAATATGGAAACATTTCTGAAAATTAATCTCAAAATGTTCCCCCAAAGTGACATTTCTATATGATCAAAATTATTACAAAGCATAGCAAGGTATTTCTAGTACTTCAAAAATAATTTCAAAAAGAGGAATGATTCTTATTTGCGATTTGGTTTTTCAGTTATTGAGGGGGGAAAACCTATCACATTTTAAATGTGTTTTTTTAATAAAGAAGTGCTTAAAACTACTCTAAAATCTTCACTTACAAAATCATTTAGATTTTTAAGTACCAAATGCAAGAATTCCAAACAGGTTCTGAGAGCAATTTTCATTGATTTTTTTTATGCTGAATTAAACAGATTTTAATCTACATTCTGTCACAAAATACCATATTCATTTAAAAGGTGTTTATCAAATTTTTTGTTATAATTAAATAGCTACTGGGGTGGGGAAAATCCCCTTTCTTCCCTTCTTGTGCGCTTGTGGCTGTACTGATAGTAAAATTGACACAAGACCAGATTAACAGGAGAAAAACCCAGTAATATGTACATATCAGAGACCATAAAGAAATGATGCTCAGAGAATGAACAAAACAGGCAGTATATATATCTTTTACACAAAGAAACATAAATTTGTGAAAAATTGACAGGACAAAGAAACTTAGATTTGGGGTACATAATTAGCGACGAATTTAAAGCAGAGTTTAGGCTTGAGGTAGTAAATTAGCAAGGTTTGTTTATGCAGGCTTCTCGGCCTTGAATCTCCTAGCTCTAGTGATAAGGATGCACAGAGTGCACCTTTCACAGGAGAGATTTATGTCTTGCTTTCAGGGGGAACAGAGACAGAAGAGTCAGAAAGCCCTTTTCGCTTCTCAAGTAACTTTAATTCAAAATAATCAATATGCTATTGTGGGATATTTTGGGGTGGCCTGCCCTGGGCCCCAACACAGCATGCATCACTTAACAGGAAAAAATCTAAATCTGTATATATTGTGAGACTGCAATGAAAATTAAAATTGTTTTTACTTAACCTGTTCACGCAAAAGTGATATTTCAAAAAATTTCAAAAGATCTTCAGATCTTCAGTGAAATCTAAAAAACTATTCTTCAAAGAAAAACCTGAAGATACTTATCTATTAGTTAAAAATTACAGAACATATTCATGCAATATAGTAAATTTAAAGTTGCAGTATTTTGACTTTAAGTTGTGTTAAAGAGAAACTAGAAAAGCAATAAATTTTCTTCAGCAGAAGAGATCTAAGGCACTGATAAGTTTGGTATTCATTTACTGAGACTATATGCTTTCAAGAAAAAAATGGCAAATAGAGCATTATTACTTGAGGGTTCATCATCATCTAAATTTCTCTATACTAAGATCTTATAAACAGACCTCACAAAAGGATTATGAACTTATCCTTAACATTATTTGTATTTGTATTATTTGTAAATTGGAAGCAACAAATAAATTTTGTTCAAACAAACGGAAAGTTAAGTTTTCCAGAAAGCAGGTTAAAAAATTATTTTTTGGTTAGTCTAAAAACAAATGTATATCCCTACCTCCCAATTACTGCATTATTTTATTTATTCATTCAACAATTATACTTTTCAATATATGCCAGGCACTATTATATATGAACGCTATACAAAAGTTTTAGCAAACATTTACCGAGCAACTACTATGTGTTATTGGTGTTTCTTAGCCACCGATCTATTACTTTCTGATAGCTGGTACTAACATGTACCTTAGCCATCAACTCAACACTAAATTAATAATTCAACTCTGGCAACTTAGGTTGTATAAGACTCGTGGATTAAAAAGTAAATTCTAAAAAGAAAACTAATTTTTGATTATTCAACTTTTTTACTGTTGTTTTCTTTGGTATTCTTGCCACAAAATAACATGGTATTGTTGACTGGGTTGGATCATCAGTTAACCCTGAATAACTGAAAACTAAACTCGAGGCAAGAAGATAAGTATCCTTACTTTCTTCTCATGCCTGTCAAAACTGCTCAAGTAAATCACAAATAACTGGCCTTTTATGGACTAGATTTTCGGGTCCGATAAATTTCCCCTTCAAATGAAAGACAATGTGTGCTTTCTACTTCGATTTTAAAAGATAATGAGGAAGAGGAAAATGAGGTAATTTCTATCTCCTTCCTCCCACCCCAAAAAGAGCTCAGAAGTTAAGATGCTTTCCCTTACAAAGGCTTTCCCTCCCCCAGCCTCATGACGAAGCAACCAAGCATGTCAAGGCAGACTCAGAGATTTCCAAATCTTCAGCAAATCAAAATCAAGTAAACCAAGATCTGACAAAATTCTTCCTTCACTTTCACTGTTTCTGCAAAGACCACCACTTTCTAGCGTTTAAAAGAGACCACTGCAGGAATGCTGGCTGCACACTAATGAATAAAACTGCCCAAACACAGAACCTGCTGCCCACTACCACCAAAGGACGGCCTTAGCCAGAGGGTAACTACCGAGAAGAGCAAACACTTTAGCAGCCGCTCCCTCGCAAACGACAGAAAATGAAGACGTCTCTTTCAAACCTGAGAATAGTAGTGAGGCATCTCCTTCCTCCCCTTCCATTACCAGCCTTGTTCCTTTCTGAATCAGGCAGTCCATCAGCCAACCTACTTTCTCAGTAATGGGGGTTGATGGTCAGAATCTTTCCGAGACAAAGATTATTGCAATAGCTCCCTGAAACCCAAAGAATCAGTGTTAAGGCATCAGAGCCCCCGCCAAGCCCACACAATGGCGAGCAAACCAAAGCGTAGGAACCCCACCACCACGACCATTCATCGCTCTCCAGAGCCAGAGCTGAGACTCAGAGCAGGAAAACCTTCCCCTTTCCAACAAGTGAGAAGACGCCGGCTCGGCTCCCTCAAGACCCCTCTACACCTGGAGCCGCTAGGAAGCCTTCAATCGCCAAGCCCAGTCCCAGCCACACACAAGATGGCAGCCAAGCACCTACCAGAGGAAACAGATGCGCCACCACTCCTGCGATGCTGGATCTCGACTGCGGATATCCTCATTGGCCCAGCCAGAGAGCGCGAGACAACCCGATAGCACTGACAGCCAATCGGAAGGAGGCGCGCTCCGGCGCCGCCGCGTTGCCGGCGGTACGCGCGCAGAGCCTCTGAGGCGTGGGCCCAGTGGGGTGTACAGCCAATGGGCTCCCGGCCAGGTGATGGAAGTCGTCGGTGGCCGACTCCTCCCATTTAGGGTTCGTGTTAGGTAGGCCTGGACTTTAGAAATTGGGCGGTCCACCCTCCCCGGCCGAGGCGAGGCGGGACAGTTGTTGCTGAGGTGAGGTCTAGTGAATGGTGAAGTACTTCCCGGCCAGGGGACACCTGGGGCCGTGGGGTGTCGGTGGCGTGGAGTCGGAGAGGCGTATGGCCCGCGGGGGAATCCAGCCTCTCTAACGGAGCGGGCGGAGCGCAGCCCTCAGGTCTGGCGGGCGGCGTGGAAAACGCAGTGGAGCCAGAGTAGCCGAGGCACGGCCTTGGGTTGCCCCACGACGGCTCCTCCGGCCCGGGACCTTGCAGCCTCCCTTCTCCTTTCACTCACGTGCAGTCCCGGGCTGGAGAAGGGACCGGGGGCGCACTGAGTTCTCGACCCCCATTTCAGTCTCAAATCTCCTGGTGGACACCTTAGTATGAGGTGATTCCTAAGCAGCTGGGAACCTGAGGCTGTAAAAAGGGCTGTAGGAAATGGACCGCAGTATAAAATCCAGAAGCAGACCTTGAAGGTTTAACCACTGACCTATTTCACAGGTAAGACTGCACAAGCCGTAAATAAGTAAAATCATTTATCCAGGGTCATGGAGTTGAGATCAGATCCTAAGAGCTACTGACTCTCGTTAGCCACAATCCGATAAGTAATTACCCAATAAGAAATTAAATAAAATAAGGAACAGTATGTAACTGTCCTCTTTGGCATGTGGAAGCCTGCAGTCAATTCTGTATGTATTAATGAATGAGGCCAAGAAAGGAGGTAACTGAGGCGGTAGAATGGAATCATCAAAACCATGGGCTCTGAAACCAGGCTGTCTGGTTCCTTATTTTTTGCCTGTCACTTACATTGTAACATGTTTTAGTTTCATTAGAAAAACTGGCGTGCTGCTTCATTCCACATGATTGTTATGCAGATTAATGAGAACTTGTGAAATATTTAGAAGCGCGCCTGACACATCGTTTATACTCAATAAATGTTCATTACTGTCATCATTGTTAAAACATAAAGAACAGAGAGGAAATGATCACGGTTTCATAAGAGCCTATTTTTAAAAACGAAAAGGAAGCATAAGTTGAAGTGAAACGGAGTGACTACTTCTCTGCCAAAATGAAAAAGTGAGAAGGAGAAAAGTATGAACAAATTTAAAAATCCCTTTTGCACTCCCAAATATTAACACTGGTTGTCTCTGGATGATGAGATTATGAGGGATTTAAATTTTCTTCTTTATGCTTTACTATATTTTGCAAATTTTTTCAGTAACCATGTTTTAAGTTCAGTTATTTTTAAATTATCAGATGGTATGAATGACACTGGTGAGAGCTCTCTTTAAAAAGAAGCTATTACTGAGTGTGCTTAAATGCTGTAGGTGGAAGTATAAATTGGTAGAACCTTTCTGGAAAGCAGTTTGGCAGTACGCTTCAGATTGCTTTAAGAAAGCCTTTTTGAAAGTTATATACTTAAATTTTAAATTAAGTACACTTTTACATTCTCCTTCTACAAAATTAGAACCTTACAGATAAAGAGCATATTTCACAATCCCTGAATTCCGCCCCCCACCACCACCCACACTAAAGACTTTGGTGCAGAGCCTTCAAGTCCTTTTTTTATATTTACATATTCTCTATAGGTGCATATATGCATTTGTAATTTTTTGGAATGGAAATAGTGTCATACTATATAATTTTTGAACTTTATTCACTTGACAATGTTTTTGCTGTGTGTACATGTTATTTATACCTCATTTTGTTATTTATGGCTCTTTTTTTAACCTGCTGGATAGTGTTCCAGTGTATAACTGAATTGTTCTGTTAATGTAAAATATTTATCTTTGTCTCTTTTTCATATTAAATTCTATTTTGTTTGATATGTACTATATAGCACATTTTATTTACTATCCTCCTCTTGATGGACATTATGTTTTTTCCAGTTTTTCACCTTACAGACTATTCTGCAGGGAAATCTTTGTATGTTTTCTTGTGCACATGTGCTATTTCTCAAGGATATATACTTAAAAGTGAAATTGCTTGGTTTTAAGTTCTGAACATTTTTTATTTTAATAGATCTTGCCAAATTTGCCTCCAAATTACTTCTACTAATTTACACATGCCACAAGTAGTTTATGAGAGTTCAATTTCCCTACAATCTAGACCAACCTAGATACTATCTTTTTACTTTTTGCCTGTCTGACGGATGAATACTCATTTAAAAAAATTTTGCATTCTTTGATTACTAGTAAGGTTGCAGTATCTATCCATATGTTTATTAACCTATAACATGTAAATTTCTATAATTTCTTTTAAAAATTACCCATTTTTTCTGTTGAGTTATCTTAATGATTTAAGGAGTTCTTTGTGTCCTAGATACTCTGTACTTGTATAATTTTTAAAAATTTCTTCACTGTCTATGGCTACATCCCCTTTTTCTTACTATTGTTAAAATATATTACAAACATTTTCTCTCAACTTTTTGCTTGGCTTTTAAGTTTATTTTTGTTAGTTTTTGTTTATTTATTCTACATATAGATTTTTCTCTTTTTTACAATCTTTAGGTCTCTCTCTATTTTACTGCATTTCTCTAAAACTTCCAGTACGATATTAAATAAGAACAGTGGTGGCAAGTGTCCTCATCCTGTACCTGACTTTAATGTAAATGCTTCTCATATTTCATCATTGAGGATGATGTTTGCTGCTAAGTTTTAGTAGTCCTTATCAGGTTAAAGCAGTTCTCTCTTATTCCTAGTTTGCTAAGGGTTCCCCCTCTGCCCTCCTCCTGAGAATAGTTGTTGACTTCTATTGAATTTTTTTGTTTTGTTTTTCTGCGTCTGAGATGATAGTTTTCCTCCATTTATCTGTTAATGTAGAAATTTACATTGATAAACTTCCCAATGTTAAACTTTTTGGGTATTTCTGGGATAAACCCTACATTGGTAATATACTCTTGATAAAAATAATAAAAATAATAATGTTTTCACATACTGAGGTATATGGAGAAGCGATTCTGGTTTAAATCTGATTTGGCCTAAAACTTCCTTTTCCAAAAGCAGACTGACTTACGGCCCACCAAACATGCATTGTACATCTGCTTCAAACGTTTTCCCAAAGCAAAGAATATGCTCTTTAAAGATAGGAATGAATGTCTCCCTTTCTCTGAAGCCTTACCAGTACTTCTTTGAAGATAAGCTTTTCTTCCCAGAGAACCAAGGTCAAGTTGACCTGCTGTGTATGTGCTAAACTGCAGCAAAACATCTCCTTGTGACTTTGGGGAAAAATAATTGTTTTCCTGTCATGCTTGATGTATGTTTTGTGTTCTGAAATGATATATAACCATGCCATAAACCACGCTTCTCCGAGTGCTTTCTTTCCTGGGGAAGATAACACTTCTGGGCTAGTCCTCAGCATTGGTTCCTTAAATATCAATAAATATCACTCTGTCTTTCTTATCTGTAGATTGGTTATCGATTATTTGCATCAACACTCTACTGCTGTATATTTTTACTTACTATTTTTGCTTCTATACCCATTACTATTTTGCTTCTGTGGCCTTGAGTTTCTTTTCTTATGTGTCAAGGTTATACTAATCATAAAAAAAGAGTTCAATAGCTTCCCATATTTTTCCTACTCTGAAACTGTGTGTGTACTATAGAAATTATCCATTCCTTGAAAGTTTTATAGAATTCATCTATAAAACTTTATGGACCTGGTATACTGGGAGTGAGAGGTGGGGATGTGTGGCATGCAGCTCTTACGATCCTTAACTGTTTCAGTTTCTTTTCTATACTTATTCCCCTAATTGGGATTTTTACTTCTTGAGCCTATTTGGTATGGAGTCAATAATTTCAATTAGATATTCAGGGTGAATTGTTCTGTCAGTGTAAAATATTTCTCTTTGTTTATTGGTTTTCATATTTAAATTCTGTTATTTGATACGAATGTTTCTTGTACTTGCTAGTATGTCTTTTCACATCCCTTCATTTCAACCTTTAGATGACATTTTGTGTGATTTAATTGGGTCTCTTATTTAAAAATATCAGCTAGGTTTTGCTTGCAATCCAATCTGAGAGTTTATCCTTTAATGAGTAAGATGATCAAATTCACCTTTTTTGTGATTATTAATATTTGCCCTTTTTCTTCTCATCTTATTTACCATGCTTCTCTTTGTATCTTTTGTATCTTATTTTTCCATTTCTCTTTTTAATTGAGGTTAGCCCAGGTTTTCTTTGTTCTACCTGTTTTTTTTCTAATAGATTACCTTTACTTTTTCAGCACAGTTTTAAAATTTATATTTTCCTAACAAAGTTTAAATTTAATTAGTATTGAGATCCTTCCTATGAAGAAGAACTTAGCATGCTTCTACTTTACTTTCTCTGATCTTGCAACAATCCCCTTCCATCCCCCCTTCAAAAACATAACTTCCCATGGTTATATCTTCTAGCATTTTTGTTTCATTCATTTTGTTTCATTTCATTTATTAAAACCCATTTTTAATCTGTGTTTATCTAGCATTAATGTGTGTTACTCATTTATTTGCACACTATTGCTTCTTGTACCTCTGTATACCTTCTAGGTTGGTTTGTGGGGTTTTTTTTGTTTTGTTTTGTTTTGTTTTGTTCTTTTTGGTGAGGAAGATTGGCCTTGAGCTAACAACTGTTGCCAGTCTTCCTGTTTTTGCTTGAGGAAGATGGTCCCTGAACTGACATCTGTGCCAGTCTTCTTCTATTTTGTATGTGGGATGCTGCCACAGTATGGCTTGATGAACGGTGTGTAGGTCCGTACCCGGGATCTGAACCTGGGAACCCCGGGCTGCCGAAGCGGAGCTCACAAACTTGAACCACTACGGCTCCCCTTCTAGGTTGTTTTTTGTTCATGAACTACTTCTTTATTTCTTTCAGAGTCTCTGAGTGGCTCTTTGAATGTCTGTAAAAGTCTCTTTTTTGTACCCTCACTATTGAAAGATAGCTTGGCTGAAATAGTATTCTGGATTCAGACTTATTTTCTGTTAACAGTTTGCATCTGGCATTTCTAATGAGAAGTCCCATTACCAGTCTGATACACATTCCTTTTAGATAGTCTAGGTTTTCTGGAAGTTTCTAAGACTTTGTCTTCATTCTTGATATTCTGAAGTTTATCCACAGTTCATCTAGTGATGTGTATTAATAATCTTATCCTGCTTGGTACTCAACGGACCCTTAGTGGGCTTATGTGTTTTCCAGTTCTGAGAAATTCTGGGTCATTATTGCTTCTTCATTCTCTCTGTTTTATCCCTCCTCTTATTATTTCTTTGTTCTGTGTTCTGAATGAATTACTCAACTCAATCTTCCATCTTAATAACTGGCTCTTGGGCCGGCCCCTGGCTTGGCCGTTAAGTGCGCGCGCTCCGCTGCTGGCGGCCCGGGTTCGGATCCCGGGTGCGCACCGACGCACCGCTTCTCCGGCCATGCTGAGGCCGCGTCCCACATACAGCAACTAGAAGCATGTGCAGCTATGACATACAACTATCTACTGGGGCTTTGGGGGGAAAATAAATAAATAAATAAAATCTTAAAAAAAAAAAATAACTGGCTCTTCATCTGAGTCTATGCTATTATTCAATCATCTGTTGAGTTTATTCAACAACTGTTTTTATATCCAAGATATCTAATTGGTTAGTTTTCAAAATTGTATGTTATTTCATGGATGAGGTTTCCTTCTTTAGCTCTTTGAAGATATTAAATGCAGTAACATTTGTTTTAAAATTATTTTCAGGATGCTCTATTAATTCTCCTCTTGAATGTAAGTCCATCATTTGGTGGGCTTGTTAAGTCTCTTTCATAGTGTAGCTTTCCTCAGATGTTTGATGACTCTCAGTTGTGCACTCGTCTCTGAGAGGACTGGCTCTTCCTTTTGCCGTGTTGTGATGGTGGTTGGCATTATCGCTGCAGCTTCCCATCTGTTTCCTTTCCCCAGAGAGATCTCACAGACTTGGTACATAGAGAATTCCCTTTTTGTTTTCAGCATGACTATATATTTTTAATTTTTAAAAAATCTTCTAACATTTCTGTGGAGTTGGTGGAGTGGGAGAAGAATTTATCATATGTTGACTAATATCTTGAGACTGGAAATTGTTAATCTCTTTTTGACCTATTAGTTCCACTTCTAGGTATATATCTTAAGGAAATAATCAGAGATATGTATAAAGTATGTTCCAGCATTATTTATTATACTGAAAAAATAGAAACAATCTAAATGTCCAATATAGAGGTTTATTTACGGTACTAATTAATAATTTGTTAAAATTTAATTATTAAAATTATTTAGTGTACTTTAATAGCTTAGCATTGCTTAGCATAGCATGGCTTAGCAACCAAAGTACATTATATAGCCACTTAAAAGTCACAGAAAAATATTAATGATAGGGGGCAAATTCAGGATATGGTATCAATGAAAGATTATAAAAAATTATACTGAAATCCAAATTTTGTTTTAAAAGTATATATTGAAAGGATAATAATAATTGCTAGCGTTTATTGGGTCCTTTGTATGTGCCAGACACTATTCTGAGTGTTTAAGTCTTATCCTCACAACAACCCTTTGAGGCAGTTAGCATTATTATCCTCATTTTAAAAGTTTTTATAAAGTATTTATAAAATGGGGGTAGTTTATGTTAATTAACAAATATATTAAATATGAGTGATTCTCAATTTCTCTGTAATTTTCCTAATTTTGATATTTACACACTTTTTCCAGTTAATATGTATTCTTTTTTCATAATAGTTCATGCTATTTTAAAAGACAGAACTATTGTTATAACAATCTCTTTTTTCACATATATTTTATTCTTTACAAATATGTCCCATTCTTTATTGTTTTCCTTACAGAATGAATTCACGGACCAAAAGATGGAGTTGGTTTTTATTTTTAAAAAGATATTATCAATGATCTGATATAACTATAAATATTCATTTGATAAAGATGCATGGACTTGTCATTAGCTTGGACTAGTGGTCGTTTCTGAAGGTTTCTTCAACGAATTTCTATTTGAAAATTCAAGTATCAAAGAATATTTGGTTTAGAATGGTGTAATGATGTATTTTCTTTGAGGACTGCAAATATCATAGAGACCACAGTTGGATTCCAGTTATATTCTCCAATCAAAGTGATTCAGTCGTTTAATGAAGTTAATTTTGGAGAGTTTTATGTTTATAAACGACGCCAAAAGATGGGAGAAAAAAATGGTAGGTTGAAAAACCATTGTTAAACTTTATGTTTAAAAGTATATTGACTACTTAATGAAATTGATTTGTGGAATTTTCAAGGTTTTTTGTTGCAAGTGACTTTTCTGAATTAAAAGGAATTAAGGGTTTATTCTCATGTAGTCAACAATTTTAACTGTCTTTATAATTAATTGTGTATCTGTAATGCTAAGTCAGTACTTTAATGCACTTTTTGAAAATATACTTTATCTTTTAGATTTACAGAAAAATTGAGAGGATAGTACAGAGATTTCCCATATTCCCTGCACCAAGTTTTGCCTGTGATTAACATCTTAACATTTGACTGCTACATTTGTTAAAATTAATGAACCATTATTGATATGTTATTATCTAAAGTCCATAGTTTATTCATATTTCCTTAGTTTTTACCTGATGTCTTTTTCTGTTCCAGGATTCCATCCACGATACCACATACATTTACTTGTCATGTCTCCTTAGGGTCCTCTTGGATGTGACATTTCTCAAACATTGCTTAATTTTTATTTTGTAGGATTTTGTATTCAAGTATTTTTCAGGATGCGCCTCTATTGGAATTATTGACTAATTTTTTTTCTCATGATTAGACTGGAGTTATGGGTTTTGGGGAGGAAGACCATAGAGATAAAGTACCATTTTTACCACATCATATCAAGGGTACATGTTATCAACATGATTTCTCATTTATTGATGTTGAGCTTGATCACCTGGCTGACATAGTGTTATCTGGTTTCTCTACTGTAAATTACTCTTTTTTCCCCACTCCCTTTCCCTACTGTACTCTTCGACAGGAAATCACTATGTGCAGCCCACACTTAAGGAGTGGGGGATTTATGCTCCCCCTCCTTGAGAATGGAATATCTACACTAATTATAGAATTCTTCTGCAAGGAAGTTTTGTCTCCTTTCCCCTATTTCTGTAGTTGTTCAGTCATTTATTTATATCAGTATGTAATCATGGATACTTATTTTATACTTTGGGTTATAAACCAGTACTGTTTTATTTTATTACTCAAATTGTCCCAGGATTGGCCATTGGAAGCTCTTTCAATTGGCTGTGTCCCTTTGACCTACCCCCATTAGGCTGTGTCCCTTTGACATACCCCCATTAATATAGGTAGTTTTTGTTTTGTTTGTTTTCTTATTTTTGTTTTTTAGCAATTCTTTATTTTCTAGTACTAGAAGATGCTCCATGCTCATCTTATATATTTCCTGCCTCAGTTCTAGAATCAGCCGTTTCTTGAATGAGCCCTAATTCCTTTTACTGGAGAATGGTATTAGAAACCAAGATCTGGTGACAGGTGTGCTCATTGTTAATGAGGTGTCGTTGCTTATAGGCCCTCTCAGCTGTCAGAACAAGGAAATGTATGTATGTACTAACCTGTACATATATGTATCTATAAATATTTCTATATATAACCATCTGTACTCTATTAAGCTAAACATGAGTTTATATTGATGATAATCCATTACCACATGGATCATTCTAGCCTGCTTTCCTTGCTTATCTGTAAACTCCCACTTGAACAGTGAGAAATGTGGCTCCCACTATGTGTTATCCATTTACTTAATTACTCGCTTTCAGTATATATATATATATATATATAGCAGTATCAGAAAGGTAAACTTATTCCCGAGTGGAAGACTACAGTGCTTGTGCTCAGTTCCTATTGCCTTTAGTCTTACGGACTCCATATATTTCCAAAGTTATTTAGGTCAGCACCTTTTGTACCCAGTCCTTCAGTGCAGTTGTGTATACATTTGTAATATAGACTCTCTTGTCACAATCTGCATTCCTTCCTGGGATCCTGACCTTTTAAATGATATTTTAAAATTCGCATACATTAAGGTTCACTCTTTTGTGCTTTAAGGTTCTATGGATTTTGACAAATGCATAATGTCACGTATCCACCGTTACAGTATCATACAGAATAGTTTCACCACCCTTTAATATACTTGTAATATATGGATTATTATACAGATCATAATACAGTGGTCTCCCCTTATCCACAATTTTTCTTTTCATGGGTTCAGTTACCTGCAGTCAATCATGGCCCAAAAATATTAAATGGAAAATTCCAGAAAATAAACAATTCATAAGTTTTAAATTGCATGCCATTCTGAGTAGCGTGAAATCTTGCACTGTCCCACTCCATCTTGCCTGGGATGTGAGTCATCCTTTTGTCCAGTGTATCCATGCTATATATGCTAATCATCCATTAGTCACTTGGTAGCTGTCTCAACTGTTGCAGTATCGCAGTGCTTGTGTTCAGGTAACCCTTATTTTACTTAATGATTGCCCCAAAGCACCAGTAGTCATGCTGGCAATTTGGATATACCAAAGAGAAGTTATTGTTGTTAATATCTTACTGTGCCTAATTTATAAATTAAACTTTATCATTAGGTATGTATGTATAGGAAAAAACATTGTAAATATAGGATTGGTATTATCTGCACTTTCAGGCATCCACTGGGGGTCTTGGAACATATCACCTATGGATAAGAGGGACTACTGTACTGATTTCACTGGGCCATTACCTAGGCCAGTGGTTCTCAAACTCTCTTTTGATCTCAGGACCACTTTATATTCTTAAAATATTTAAAACCCCTAGCAGCTTTTGTTTATGTGGATAATATCTGTTCGTATTTACTGTATTAGAAACTGAGAAGCTTCAAAAATGTTAATTGGTTCATTTTTTTTTAACAGTAAATGCAACATGTTAACATAAGTTACATTTTTGTAAGAAATAAGTATTTTCTAAAATAAAAAAGTTAGTGAGAAGAACATTGTTTTAAGTTTTTACAAATCTCTTTCAAGTTGGCTTAATAGAAGAAGGATTCTCAGATCTGCTTCAATCTGTTGTGATATGTTGCTTTGGTTTTAATGTATAAAGAAAATGAAGCTTCACACAGAGAAGAAGTGGGAAAAAGAAATAATATTTTAATAGCCTTTCACATAATTGTGAATATTTTTCTTTTATACAACTACAAAACTCAACAAGTAGTCATTCCTTTAAGGTTAGTCATAGTGTAGAATCTGAACTCTTATCAGTGAGTTTTTGTTTTTTTGTGTGTGTGTGAGGAAGATCAGCCCTGAGCTAATATCTGATGCCAATCCTCCTCTTTTTGCTGAGGAAGATTGGCCCTGGGCTGCCCATCTTCCTCTGCTTTATATGGGACACCGCCACAGCATGGCTTGACAAGCGGTGCGTTGGTGCACGCCCGGGATCCGAACCTGCAAACCCTTGGGCCGCTGAAGCGGAGTGCCCGCACTTAACCACTTTGCCACCGGGCCGGCCCCATCAGTGAGGTTTTTTACACTCTGTTACATTAAAATCTGTTAGTCTGTCTTGCACTTTGAATGGGTCTTTTACACATGTATGATTTTATAACAGGCATTGGCCACTTGGAAAATATTGGTTTAATGAACATGCAGATTTTCCAAATGTTGACACATTTCATCATACAATATTAAAAAGTCACATTTGTTAATATTGCTACCAATCTCATCTAAAAGTGATTAAGTATTGAGAAGTTGTCAAGCTTACCATGGCAGATACAAGGTTTCCAAATTTCTAATTTTAACTTGGTAGCTTGAATTTTATGTTTAACAACAAGTGCTGTCAGTTTTGTCCTTCGCGTGATAAGCTCACTTTGTTCATTTTTGAAAAAATGTGTACCAAACACCCAAGTCTGAAAAAACATAATTTTTATTAGTGGTTCTTTTAAGTAAGAATGGTTTTCCATGAGAAAAAAAAAAGAGCGGCTAGTTTAGCTTACAACTCACACAGTCTCAATAGTGCTTTTCCTTGAGACAGCCATTGAACTGTGGTGATAATTTATGTTGCTTTATCAAGGACATTCTCAAATGAGAGTGGTGGTGAAGAGTACAGTGACTTACTGGTAGTTTGGTGCCACTGCCTTAATTCATGCTAAGACACCAACGCTTTTACTTACCAGTGCTTTTGTACCATCACTTAAGGTCAATACAGGGAAAAAAGGCAAATAATGTCTTAGTATTACTATTAAAGTAGTTTCACATAGCGTATTCTGAGAAAGGATTTGGGGACCCTCAAGGGTTCATAGAGCACAGTTTGTTGATCACAGGCTGAAAGATGTCTTAGAGATCCTCTAGACCAATGCCCTGAAGCTCCTCAAGGGATGGAGAGAGAGATATATATATTTCTGTGTACCTAGGTCATTATCAATGTATTTAGTAAGTACTCTGTAAATATTCATGAATTCAGATTAGTGTGATTCATGAGCATTGCCTATTTACAAAGACTGTCTATCTCAAGTGAAATGTGGAAACATATAGTGTAACTATATAAGTCAGTTGTCTTCCTTTACAAAGCTGCTCTGCTTCATAATTATATTCTTTCTTTCTTTCTTTCTTTCTTTATTTATTTATTTATTTTTGTGAGGAAGTCTAGCCCTGAGCTAACATCCAATGCCCATCCTCCTCTTTCTGCTGAGGAAGACTGGCCCTGGGCTAACATCCATGCCTACCTTCCTCTACTTTATATGGGATGCCGCCACAGCATGGTTGACAAGCAGTGCGTCAGTATGTGCCCAGGATCCGAACCGGCAAACCCCAGGCCACCGCAGCGGAGGGCGCGCGCTTAACCGCTGCCCCACTGGGCCGACCCCCGATTATATTCTTACAATAAATAGTCATATCTAGCTAAATAAGGGAGCAAGAACAGTAGAGTTATCAGATGGTGTTCTGCATTTCTGGAGGCAAGTAGCAGCAATATTAATATACTGATTTGATTTGCAATTCAAGTACCTGCTCCTATATTCTTAGTAAGTGGCTTCAGTATGTATAGTGAAATATATTGAAATTTTTCCGGTTTTAAATTACAACCCTGAGCATTCATACAATGCACAAAGAAGTAAAGAAAAGGAGCAGGAAGCTAAAATTGTTTACATTGTAGTAACCATCTATACAGCCTACAGTTGAAATGAAATCACTCAAGTGTTTCTTCTTATGATACTTATTTAGCCTCTTTGTTCAAAAAAGTTATTAACTGGATCTGTTAATCTCATTTATCAGATATGTTGGTTATCTCTTTTCATACTTAATATTACTGTGGTTAAAAGTTTCCATAGCAAGAAGACAAAAATGATCAAGAGGGAAGACATGAGCAATAAGAGCCATTTAAATATGAGAATTAAACCTAGCAGTATGCGATAATAAGGATGTCATAAGGAACAATATATTAAAAACCTAGAATAAATAAATTTGAATTGCTTAGTTAAATTCATTTATTGTACAAGTAGATATTTTCAGTATTTTCTGATTGGCTTTATTTTCTTAAATTATATTACCAGTATCCTCTTTATTAATCCATTCCAAGACTAAGCATTTACCCTGTTCACTTTTTAAATAATTCATTTTAAGTATTTCCTATCAGAATAATGTGGTATCATATATTGACATTTCTAACACAGTTTTAAATGATAGTCACTGAGGAACAAAAATTCAGTCCTGAATTTTTAATTCAATTAAGTTCAATTGAATTTTAATTCAATTTTTAATTCAAATAAATCCTGATTGCTTTCTTTCATCATCACTATTTATTTTTTCAGGCCAGGAGAGAGTCGTATATGATTCCAGAAAATTATAATGCTACCAAAAGCTATTTCTAAATACCTTTCAACATCCTTCCCTTCTAGATGTCCACCTCAAATAAAGATAAATCCCTAGTGTGGAGTATTGACTCATATCCATGAAAAGAAACATGGTAACAGTAGTCAATTAAGTACTTTCATAAATAGTTTTGCCTTAAAACAATGATTTTTTTTGTTATCTGTCAGTAAAAAACTTAATGATTTTAAGGATTTGTGGAAAGCCTTGCTTCACAAAATATTTTCCCCACTTAGCTGAATGATCTCTAAAATTCCACAATTAAAGATTAATTCCTTTTGCCTGACTATACCCTATTAAATTATATACAGTAATTTCTTGCTAACTGCCACGTGCTTATCTGCATATCAACTCTATGAGGTAGATGCTATTATCATTCTCATTATTTTACAGATATGGTCACACAGCTAATAAGTGGCAGTCCTGGGATTCAAATCCAAATACATCTGAACTGCAAAGCCCAGATTGTTAATCTCCGCTTCTGTTCTTCCACTGACTCCTGAGATGCTACTCTGCTGTGGTTTCCTTCCACCTATTTGCTCCTTCTCGGTCTCCATGGTTCCTTTCTCTTGTACTCGTTCTTTACATGTTGATGTTGTACAGAAGACCCTCTTTTCATTCTACATATTCTCCCTAATCACATTTATTCTGTGGCTTCAGCAAGCATTTGTGTGCTGTTGACTCCAAAATTTGTATGTCTGGGCCAGATCTTACTCTGGAGCCTGTGTATCCAGTTTACTTGCCCTACTAATTTCTCACTTGTTTCTCTACCTTTATTCCCTCTCTCAATGAATATCATTACTATAATTATTGTTGCCTGAGTCAGAGACTTAGAAATCATTCTTGTCTCCTCCCTCTTCCCACTGCAACCTGAGTGATCTTTCTAAGAAACAAATCTAATCACACCATAAGATCTTCAAATTCTTGAGTGGTTCCCCATAGCCTTCCATGCAAAAATGAAGTTGCTTTGCATGGCACACAAGGCCCTCCATGTCATGGCCCCCCCCGCCTCTGAAGCATTTCTCATCCCTTTTGTCCTCTCATGTTGCATTTGTTTCAAATATTGAAACCTTGTTTGAACTGTGCTATGGGGAATTAAAAGTAGGCTTAGTCTTGTGTAGTACACATTGGACCAGAGGGTTAACAGGGAAACAACGTTCCTCCTGAGGCTGCTGTGGTGGCAGCAACCCTCATTAGCCAGAAATCCCCTTTGGGTAAGGTGACTTTGTCAGGGAGAGTTGGGACTCTGAGGCCTAAGCCTCTTATGAAGATGCTCACTGCATTGCCAAACTTGTATGTTCTGGGTTTAATTTTTATTAAGGAAAATGTATTTTTTGTAAACTTACTGAGGTCCCTTCTCATTAATCCTCCCAATGACTTCTCAAGGGACCTTTCTAAAGTGTGGTTATTATTAAGTCCTTCCTTTGCTTAAGGCCCTATTAATTAATTTTAAACATATTATACATTAATTTTAACATTTTATAAATAAGTTGTGTTTAGCATTTTAGGTATTTTTGTTAGTTTTAAACGTGGTGTAAGTGTGAGATTTGGTTTTTGCCAATTTATTTTTTTTATTTTTCTGAGGAAGATTTGCCTTGAGCTAACACCTGTCGCCAATCTTCCTCTTTTTGCTTGGGCAAGATTCGCCCTGAGCTAACATCTGTTGCCAGTCCTCCTCTATTTTGTATGTGGGCCTCTGCCACAGCATGGCCATTGACAAGTGGTCTAGGTCCACTTGGAACCGAACCTGAGCTGCCAAAGCAGAGAGTGCTGAACTTAACCACAGGTCCACCAGGAATGGCCCTGCCAATTTATTTTAATTGCCTTTCTCATACTTCTGTTTTCAGCTTTGAAAGGATTATTTCTCTAGGAAATGTTCGATTAAGTTGTTAGCTTGTTGGGCATCTAAAATGTTGGCTAATCTGGGGCCGGCCCCATGGTTTAGCAGTTAAGTGCGCGTGCTCCGCTGCTGGTGGCCCGGGTTCAGATCCCGGGCCCGCACCGACGCACCACTTCTCCGGCCATGCTGAGGCCGTGTCCCACATACAGCAACTAGAAGGCTGTGCAACTATGACATACAACTATCTACTGGGGCTTTGGGGGGAAAAAATAAATAAATAAATAAAAATTTAAAAATAAATAAATAAACAGGTAAAAATTAATTTAAAATAAAATGTTGGCTAATCTATATAACTTTCTTTATAAAAACTTCAAACATTTTACTTCATGTAATTATTAAAAAGTTAATATAAAAGACATTTTAAAAAGCTTTATTGTTGGACGTTTAGTTATTACAGTAATTGTTGAGATGTTTCATTCTGAAACCATCACTTTCATACTCAGTAGAGGTTATATCCTTGAAACTTTTAAAATGTATATGTGTCTGTACATATGCCCACTACCACCCTAGAATGAAGTCATTCTTTCTGTTTTCCAGTTAAGAAGTAGTGTCACTAAAGTTTTCAACATATTTTTTTTTCTTTTTTCTTTGCTGGGGAAGATTCACCCTGAGCTAACATCTGTTGCCAGTCTTCCCCCCCTTTTTTTTAATGTGAGCTGCCACCACAGCATGGACACTGACAGATGAGTGGTGTGGTTTGGCGCCTGGGAACTGAACCCAGGCCGCTGAAGCGGAGCGCACTGAACTTTAACCACTAGGCCATCGGGCCTGGCCCTCAACATGTTTTTTAAATTAGCAGCAATAAGTGAGATACTTAGATCATAGTGTTTGTTTCTAGTTCTTTGTAGAGAAACAATGACCAAAATGTTTTTCCTCAAGGAAAGCCATAGACCAATTAAATCTTGATTTTGTTTAGAAACCAACCAGATTTTCTGTAACATGTACCTTGGGGAAATTATAGTCTATTTCTAACGAGCTCTTAGGCTATTCACTTTTTTTTATTTTAGGTGATGCAAAAACTTTCTGGATGGAGCTGGAAGATGATGGAAAAGTGGATTTCATATTTGAACAAGTGCAAAATGTGCTACAGTCACTGAAACAAAAGATCAAAGATGGGTCTGCCACAAATAAAGGTTTGAAGTGATAAAAACTTTCAGTACATTTAATGCTAAATATTACCCACTAGCAATAAAGTATAATTCTATTTCCAGTGTTGTTTGTTTTAAAAGTTAAATAATTTCTTTTGTTTTCTAAGAACCTAACATCAGTTCTGCTTTTTTTGTGTTCTCTGCTTCTATAAAAACTTTACCGTACCATGGACATTTTGTAAAAGTGGGTAAAGATGATTATTTTGAATAATAGCTACTGAATTTATCTCTTTTTATCTTAGGCTACCTTTTTTTCCCTATTTTTTTTTCCTTTGTTTCATTTGTGGGCTCTTGCAAAAGTATTATCTGCTCATTGTACATTTGGTACATACAGAAAAATATAACGAAAATTATCCATTACCCCATCATTCAGAGACAGCTAGTATTTTTTTAAATGTAAAAGTACATGTAACTATATTTTACCTGCTTTAAACAGAACTTGCCCTACTGGTCTTCTGAAAGCAAACTTGCAGTCTGTGTAGGCAGTCAATTCAGTCATCCAAGTTTTTTTTTTTCTCTTTCTTTGTCTTCAACCCTGGTTGGTTGTAGAACATAAGACTTTCTGTGGAAAGCTCCTTCATTCCATCAGGACATATGATTTTTCAAGCAAATTTTCCCCCAGACTATTCTTTATTTTTTTCCCAAACTATTCTTAATACTTTCTGAATGTTCTTATGACATTAATCTATTATGTACTTGTCCAAAAAAATAGTACTACTTTTCATTTTGATATTCCTTCTCCTTCCTTCGTGAGTCAGATATATCTAGGTTTGAATCCAGTTCTGCCACTTCCTAGCTGAATGACCTGGAGTAAATAGCTTAATCTCTAAGCTTCAATTTCCTTTTCTCTAATGCAGATAACCATAAGAACCTCTCAGAGGAGTTGTGAAGATTAAATGAGATAAAGGATGTAAATTGTTTAGTACAGTAGTTGGCACCATGAATAAAGGTGCTGCTGCTGATGATTGTTTTCTTTCTTGTTTCCTTTCCTTAACAGAGTACGTTCAAGCAATGATTCTAGTGAATGAAGCAACTATCAGTAACAATTCGACATTGATGAAGGGTAGGTAACATTTCTAATCCCAATGTAGAGTATTCTCTGGTGTTTTCTTGAGTTAAAGCAGGCCAGCCTTATTTATGTCACGTTACTTAAAGATAATTTAAAATAAAATGTAAGATCTATATAGGTAAGTTATATAAATCAGTTTCCCTATTAAATGAAAAGTCCTACCCATCCAGAGATAGGAAATGTATCTCTTCTTCAAAAAAGCTTCTCGTATAAGAAAGGCAAGACTCCAAACCACTATAAACCCACGCTGTGTGAAGAACAATACTAGAAAGTTATATTCCGGTGTAGATAAGTTGGTGGAAAATCTTTTCGTTTCTAGATTATTATTAGGCCATCAGTCTTCCAGACTCTAAACAAATTCATTTTATTTTATTTTATTTTTTTGAAAGTTTTATTTATTTATTTTTTCCCCCAAAGCCCCAGTAGATAGTTGTATGTCATAGCTGCACATCCTTCTAGTTGCTGTATGTGGGACGTGGCCTCAGCATGGCCGGAGAAGCGGTGCGTCGGTGCGCGCCCGGGATCCGAACCCAGGCCGCCAGCAGTAGAGCGCACGCACTTAACAGCTAAGCCATGGGACCGGCCCCTAAACAAATTCATTTTAGATGAAATTGATCAAAGACAATGTACCAGGACTAGAAAAAGAAAAATTGAAAAATTATTTTATCAGAATCACTATCCTATAAATCTTAGTCTATTACTAATTTGCTAAAGTGTTGAGGAAGTACGCATTTACTAGATTTTAATTAATACTGCCAAATATTGTCAACAAATTGTAATAATCTTAACTGTTATAATTTGGAGCCTTAAGATTTTAAATCTCTGAAAATATAGCCTAGCATCATCAGTCTCTTTTAAAGAAACATTTTGGGGCCAGCCCCATGGCTTAGCGGTTAAGTGTGCGTGCCCCGCTACTGGCGGCCCAGGTTTGGATCCCGAGCACGCACCGACGCACCTCTTGTCCGGCCATGCTGAGGCCGAGCGCTGCGTCCCACATACAGCAACTAGGAGGATGTGCAACTATGACATACAACTATCTGTTGGGGCTTTGGGGAGAAAAAGGGGAAAGAAAAGGAGGAGGATTGGCAATAGATGTTAGCTCAGGGCCGGTCTTCCTCAGCAAAAAGAGGAGAATTGGCATGGATGTTAGCTCAGGGCTGATCTTCCTCACAAAATAAAAAGAAAGAAAGAAAGAAACATTTTGTTATTCAAAAGTATTCTCAATTTCAGTAGCCAATGTATAATTTTAGAAGAATCGATTCTTTAAGAAAACAGTCTTTTGCAGTATCCTTCAGTAGCACTTGGAATCAACACACTCTTAAGGAATTACATTCGTTTTGCAAGAGAGAGACTTTAAATCCAAGAGGTGGTAAAAGGAACTAATTCTAAACAAAGTCTTTGTTTTATCTGAAACCGTCTATTTCCCACTATAAGTAAGTTGAGCTTTTGTTTTTGTTCTTTTAAAGTAATAATTTCATCAGTAGAAATGCTGAATATTATAATTTCGTATTCTACATAGTTCATCTTAAATGTAATGAATTTGTCAAAATAAAAGAATATATTTGCCAGTGGTAGAGCAATGTTTTTAAGTAAGTAATTGGGCAGTTGTTTAATTGACATTGTTGACAAATGAAAAACTTTCTAGTAATAAGGTTTCATGTTAGTATTTATTTACAAAGAATATTGAGACTGAGAGAAATAAAAGGACTTGGTATTGAGATCAAAACAAGACATCCCAGATCTGGCCTAAACTCCCCAAACCACTAATTACCTTTATTTTTCTTGTTTGTGTATAACTCTGTAAAATATTTGCTGTTGCGCATACAAAGGATTGGATACTGTTGTCTTGAAAGGAATTATTATTTCCCTTTTACCCCCTTATCTAGTGATTAATTTTAAATCTCCATGTTTTTCAGTAAATCTTATTTCTAACTATGCTTTATATACATTTGCTTTATTCATATTTGTAGTATGGATTTATATGACTCATGCAAAAAATTAGCTAGGAAAAATCAGAAATTCTTAATTAATTGGTTATTATAGCTCTCTTCAGCTATCAGATTTTAAGCCTTCTTTCTTAACCTAGAAAATTAAAGAGGGATATTTGTTTTCCAATTAGCCAAGAAGTTACCTTGGATTATAACTTAAAGTATTCTTTTATTTACTTAAACTTTTTTTTCTTTTTAATAAGACTGGTCTGCACAATAAGGGACCAATGCAAGTTAATAATCCAAGGCAGGATGAGAATCACTTTTTCTTAAGGTCCATCAGTGCATAGGAAAAAGCACATTAAAAAAAAAAATCTTTAAACCAAACATAGGATAGTCCACCTATCCATTTTTCAAAATAAGAAAAGGAAATCTATAACTTTTTTCATTAAATACAGAACTTATTCTATATTGTCATCATGTTAGAGAGTAAGAATAGATCAAGTAGAAAAAGAAAAGACAAGAAATGAGATGAAATTAAGTGCAGAAACATATAGGAGAGACTAGGAGAAATATTAAAAGACAACTGGAAAGACAAAAAGAGGTACCCAAATACCCTCCTGCCCCCCAAAAAATATAGAGTAGTAGAATGAGAAAACAATAGATACATAAACTTTCCATTTTGTGACCTTTTATAGAGCCTTTAAGAGTTATTTTATTTTCTATAAAATAAGCAGAAGTAGGGATACTTGGTGTTCACCTTAAAAGTTGTTTAAGTTCAGGCCAAACTAGAGTTTCTGCAGTGGAAATCTCTTTTATCCTAAGTCTTTTGTTTTATCCTATCTTATTTTCTTAATGTTTTTGAAAATATTGACACCTAATTTTGTGGTTCAGTCTTGAAATCTTAATATGTTTACAGATTTAAGAGCTCCATATATCTGTAGTCAGTAAAGGTATTATTAGATAATAGAGTGAATAATTTTTAATTGGGTATACTTGTTACTCATGTTTGTATTTTATTCATGTAGATCATATGTCTGTGACCCAAAATGAACAGGAAAACAAATCAAGTTCATTGCCCTCTACATCACATGAAGACACCTTTCCAGAAGACTGTACATTTCTGTAGGTATATAAGTTAAACTTATGTTGTTAATGCTTTTGCTCCCAGAAAGAGATTTAATCTTTCTAATATTTGACATGAGTAGATATACTATATAAAAAAAGATCCTTTCCCATAAAAAGCTTTAAAAGTTGTAAATTTTAGTATTTTATGTAAGATAAAGGCTCATGAGTCCCTTAATAGGTTACTTATTTGTTCATGTCCCTGGGTAATCAAGTCTTTTAATAAAATTTAGCTTAGGATGTCTTTGTGTATATTATTAACATACTGAAATCTACCATCTGGCTTTTTTTTTTTAACTAGAAAATTATTTTTCCTGGATTATTTCTTTTAAAGTAGAGTATTGAAAAGAGTCAAAAATATTTCTTTTAGTATCAGTTCAGTTTTTAAAATGCATAACAGCTCTAAATTAGTATCCGAAGGTTTATGAGAATAGGCTAAATTTTTCTGGCCTTGTCTTTCTCCTTTACCACTAATTTTAGTGAAGATTCCTCAGCATAAAGTAGAATTGTATAAGAGGAAATCTGACACGCTCACACTTAGTCTTTATTTTTAGTGGGTAATGTCTGTACTAAAACTTTCAAGTACTAGTTAAAAGGGAAGTTTCTGAAAGTATTTTGTGCTAGGGCAGGAAACAGAATTTCAAAAAACAAAAAAGTTTCTATAGAAAGAAAGTTTTTAAGTTTATTGCCTTATTTTGTTTGTCCTTTTAGCCACATATTAACCAAAAAAATTGTCAATGTAGAATTCTTTTTTTCTTTTTAGTGCTTTTTTTTTTGTGAGGAAGATCAGCCCTGAGCTAACATCCGATGCCAGTCCTCCTCTTTTTGCCGAGGAAGATTGACCCTGGGCTAACATCTGTGCCCATCTTCCTCTACTTTATATGGGACGCTGACACAGCATGGCTTGACAAGCAGTGCATCGGTGCGTGCCCGGGATCTGAACCTGCAAACCCTGGGCTGCTGCAGCGGAGCACGCACACTTAACCGCTGTGCCACTGGGCCGGCCCTCTTTTTAGTGTTTATGAGAGTTGTAGATTGACATTGTTACATATGATTTGCATTTACAAATATTAGAGATGTCCCTACAGTTTAAATCTAAAAGACTCATAAAACTTATTTTAAAATACTCTCAAAGAAAGCTAAGTTCACACTTTTAAAACTCTGTAACTGGCCAGTACAGTAGCTCACAAAACAAATTTTTTTCCTAGAAATTCTGACCCTCTGATATGTAGTACAAAATTTCATTACCTTTTAAAAGCAAATTCAGTCACTCTAAATCACTAAAATATCAGATTCTTTTTCATATAAATTACCACCAAACCAACTGTCCCTCATTTTATATTTAGATAATTGTATTTTAAGCCTAAATGCAGGAGTTGGTTTATTCTCGTGAAGTGTCCCTTTCTGGTTTTAAGTTCGTTATCCTAGCTTATCAGAATCTTTTGAATTTGAATCTATCTGTTATGTTTTCTTTCTAGCTTTTTATCTTGTACAAATATATTTTAAAAAGCTTTCTAGTCTTTATTAAAGTCACTGAAAGCAATATTGGATAAGACAAGACCAAAGAAAAACCTAAAACCTGGCTAGCTCACTACTAGAGACCTCTTTTCATTACTCTTCAGAAAGAACTGTTCAACCAACCGTGACTTGACTTACCTCTACTATTGTCCCACCTACATTTCTCTATTTTACTCACAAGGCTTTCATGAGAAATCAAGATTCACTGCTATAGCTTTCGATATCATTACCAAACTTTATCAAAAAGGAAAATTAAGTTAATTTATACTTTTCTCACCTAGTTCATCTTGGCTTTTCAAATTCTAAGTATTTAAAAGTCACATGCTTTATTCTCTCTTCTAGAAATTGTTTAGAGATCAATATTAAGCTAACCATTCTGTACTTTCTGGAGTATTAACCTTTGTCCCTTTTTTAAAAAATCAAGGCAGCATTTTCCCATTTTTCATTCATATTTGAAGTTTTTTCAAGACCTTGAGGTTTAATTTGTTTGTGCTTAGAGTCTTAAATATATTTAAATAAACTAGCATTCTAGGACCACCCCCCCCCTTTTTTTATTTGGTGAGGAAGATTGGCCCTGAGCTAATATCCATTGCCAGTCTTCCTCTTCTAGGACCCCTTTTTAACTATCACAGACTTCAATTCATTTCATTTTCTTCTGGTCTTTCCAACTTGAGGACGATACTTAATAGATGTAAAAGACAAAGCAAAATTGTTTTTGAGCTCTTCCTTCTCTCTATTGCCAGTTAACCTTGTGCTGTCTTTTCCCTAACAGACTGTCTTCTTATTCCAAACACAGCTTTAAAAATTTCGTTGTTGTTTTATTAGCATTTTTGGAATCCTCAGTTCTTAGTAGGCATGAGCTTTTGTGACACTTTTCTTGTAGGTTCACACCAATATTTTGTATTCATAATTGGTCTTTTTTTCTTTTGTACATATTCTTTTAAAAATCTGAGCTTCTTAAATTAAATTGCTTTCTCTATAACTGCTTTCCCATCTCATTAGAATTATTTACGATTGTATAGTCAGAACTTCATTTCCTTAGAACCTGCAGTTCTTCTTGTGCTGTATTCCCACTCAGAGGCTTTGTCCATGAGATCTTATCTAACTTTGAGTTGAACTTTCTGAAATATTTTCAGATGAAGGGACATGTCTAATTAGGCTCAGGTTTTCTTTCTTTGCCACTAAGAATTCCAAGGCCACATTTCATTCTTGACCAGAATTGCGTTTAATTCCTTTTATATTTCCTTTGCACATCATGAGTTTATTACTTGTTTTGCTTTCAGTAGTTAAACTCCTAGTAGGCCAGCAGTCTCATAGGCACACTGGCAAACTAAATGGCGAATAACTAAAGGCACAGATTCTCAACCCCAGCTGAATTGCTCAAGAGCATACGATTTGTTAATGGCAAAACCAGGGTGAAAATTTTAGGTCTCATAGAAAACTGGCTTTTTGTATTTTATTCTTGAGTTGAATTGAATTTCCATTCTATATAAGTGAGCTATAACATAGGTAAATGTAAAAAGAAAAACTTTATTCCAATGATAAATCTTTTACAAAGATACTTTTGTGATGTCAAGAAACCTGGCTTAATTCTTTTTCTTTTTTTATAATTTTATTTATTTATTTTTTCCCCAAAGCCCCAGTAGATAGTTGTATGTCATAGCTGCACATCCTTCTAGTTGCTGTATGTGGGACGCGGCCTCAGCATAGCCGGAGAAGCGGTGTGTCGGTGCGCGCCCGGGATCCGACCCCGGGCCGCCAGTAGCGGAGTGCATGTACTTAACCGCTAAGCCACGGGGCCGGCCCTAATTCTTTTTCTCAGTCAAGTACTTTCGTTTGTCAGCAACACACACTTACTCAAGCTGGCTTAAGTAGCGGAATTTATTAGAGATACCAGGCATGCAGCTTTGGCTAGTGTACATGGTGAAAGTGGGCTTGCTCCGCTACTAAAAGACACAGGTGTGAGTTTAAGTCATTTGGCTTTTCATATGACGTGCACGCAAATACCCAACAGAAATTTTTTTTTTTCCCCCCCAAAGGCCCAGTAGATAGTTGTATGTCATAGTTGCACATCCTTCTAGTTGCTGTATGTGGGACGCGGCCCCAGCATGGCGGGACAAGTGGTGCGTCGGTGCACGCCCGGGATCCGAACCCGGGCTGCCAGTAGCTGAGCGCGCGTACTTAACTGCTAAGCCACGGGGCCGGCCCCCAACAGAAATTATTTTTAAAAAAATACACACACACACACATACACCTAACCTACACATACATATGTAAATAAGTTAAGTGTTCAAGAACAGAAAATGTAATACAGCAGGACGTATAGAGACTAGAGTTGGAACTGGAAAATCAGTCCCTGAGGTCAAGGTCCACATTATTTAGCTCTGCTTTTCTCCATATGTTATCAATTGGTTCTTCTGTTCCCATATAGCCTAACATAGCTGCCCCACCTAAACACTACGTGACCTAGTACGAGTGTTACCTTGTGATATATTTTTTGATAATAAATTCTTGAGAGAGACTGTAAATAGCCTAGTATGAATACGTGATCCAGCAGCTTTTAGTCCACTGAAATTAAAATGACCACTTTTCAGAATAGGATAACCAAAGAAGGAACTTAGCAGAAAATAAACTTGTCTACTACAGTCTTTAAGATGAATACAGTTTTCATTCATTTTTTTAAATATGCCCCTTCAAAGGTCATAAAGGATAGAATGACTTTTTACCTCAGACTTGCCAAAAGCTAGGAAATCAGTTGGCAGTCTCAGAAGCCGTGCTCTGCCTTGTAGTTCAAGTTCAAGGTGTCTAATGACAAAACAGTTCTCAAGCCACATACAGACTGAGAAACTCCTACCCAGAGGCTCGTAGACAGGTGCAAACAATACTGGATAGCCATACCTACTTATCTTTTGTTTACCTCCAGCATTTTAATGGTTTTGGTCAGTAACTAGGTTTACAACACTGCATAGGATTGGTTTTCTTTATTTTTATTTTTGTTTTTTCCAGTAATGTGTCTTCATACATATAAGAAAGTTAATCTTCCTCCCCATAAAATGGGATTGAAATTAGGTTACTTTACTCTTGAGACTTGTAGTAAGTTGATTTTCTTTCATTTATTTTATGAAATGAGGCACAGATAAGAAAAGAATCATTTCTAAAGTTCGTATCAGTGTTTCATTTCCATGTTTTTCTGCTTCTTGTTTTCTAACTTTTATTAAATATAGTAAGATATTTCTCCCTTTGTTATTGCTCGATAACTTGAGGCTTACACTTCTTAATTTTTATTAGATTAGTCACCAGAAGAGTACATTTAAGCCGGGTTGGCTAACTTTATTGAAATCCTAAATTCCAAATTACAGATTTTACCAGTGTGTTTACTATTTCAAATTTTAGTCCTACGTAGTTCTAATCTTATATTCTTCCAGTAATGACTAACTCGCAGCTGTACTTATTAAGTGTTACATGAGGAAATTATGTACAAGCACACTGTAAACTGTAAACTACTATACAAATATTAGTTATTATTTAAGAACTAAGGGTAACCCAGATACTTTGTCACATATACCCTGAGTTAATCCCTTCATATTCAGAGAAGAACCTTTTGAGTCATCCAATTAGTATTTCATATTCTCCTTCCCCCAAAATAGGAAAACAGAAACAAAAAAAGATCATAGTTGAAATAGGGGAAATCAAATAATGACATTTGGAGAAAAAGATGCCACAGAAATCAGTTTAAAACATAATTTATTTGGTTAAGGCAAGGTGAAAAGGGAAATGAAACATTCAGTTTACTGGTTATACAACCCTGTAGATGTATAACTCACTTGAGAGTGAGTAGCCTACATCAAAACAGAACAAAGCTGTGAGAGCCTAAGAGAATTTATTACAATGAATACTGAATGCAGCAAAACAAAGGGGGTTATATCTCAGATAGACAAATAAATAGAAGTGCTCAGAGTTCAGAGTATCCTATAATGATTTATAAGAAAAAGTGGTAGGAAGGAACTTGGCACTTGATAATAGGGGAAAAGCAATTCTAGGCACAGGCTTTAAAAAACAAGGAAGTGTTGGATACCAAAATAAATAAATAAACGAAGAAAAACAATTACTAAAGTAGACTAGGCTAAAAAAGAAGTGAAATGGAAGAGTAAAACAAAAGGTACATTATAGAATATATTTCTTACTGTGGAATGCACACCCAACATTATTCAAAAATACAAAAATAGATTGAAGTTCTTTAAAGGGGAAACAATGTTTTAAAAGTCTTATTTGTTAGAAGTACATACTGATTTCAGGTAAAAAGATATAATGTCTAGGATTTGCTTTAAAATACTCCAGTATTTTAAATACTGTCTAGGATTTGCTTTAAAATACTCCAGTTTCAGGGTGGGGCAAGAGGGGGGAGAATAGATGAAATAAAATAGGCAACATGTTGATAATTATTGAAGCTTGGTAACAAGTATCAAAGATAAACAAAGCCAGACATTAAAGTGGTGAAAACAGATTTTATTCAGTAACTACTGACAGTAGGGGAAAGAGCTGAGCTCCATTCCGATTTGTGCTGAGGTGACTGGCATTTTAAAGGGAAATGAGGGAGTAGGGAGGGAGGAAGGCAGGAGCTCAAGTGAGAAATTACAAAGAGTTGGTCAGCGTGAATGCCCAGGAGGCCAGCTGTGTGCGCTAGCTGCCAGTTTTCAAAGTTAGGATTCTGTCCTCCCACAGAGACTGGAAGACAGAGGCCCTGTCCTTCCTGATGATTACCTTTCAAAGGAATGGCTTTCAGGTCCTTGAGAAAGACACTCCTGAGTTGTAGGAGATAACATATACATCTCAGAGGGACCAAGGCAAGTTTCACAATTGTAAAGCATTTTTTAGTAAATTCTGTGAGAAAGAAAGGTCAGGGGCTTATCTTCAGGTGTTGGCTAGAAGAAACAGTAAATTCTCCTGGCAGCATTGAGCTTTCTCAGGCAGGCACTTTATTGGGGGGCTGGGGTCATCCTAGAGACATGGTCTTATGCTGCTAGAAGCCTTGCTAGAGTTCTCTTGTCTCTTAGTGCACAGGTTGGGGCGGAGTCGTCATGTGCCGAGAGTTCTGCAGCTCTCACAAATATATGGGGGTCCAATATATCAATCTTTTTTAGTGAGAAAAATATGCTCTTATGTATGTGTTTGAAAGTTTTATTAATAAAAAGTTATTTTTAAATGTATATTCTGTTGACCTAGTGATTCCCCTTTAAGGAGTGTATCCTAAGGTAATAATCAGGAATTTGGACAAAGATTTATGTATGAGGATGTTCATCAAAGTATTAACATAGAAAAAAGTTGGAAACAAATGTTTCCAACATTAAAAGATTTATAAACAAATTATAATACATCCTTTTACCTATTAGATTGTCCAAAATCCAAAAGCATCAAGAGCCATTGATTGATGAGGCTCTGCAAAAGCAGGCACTCTCATAAATCGCTGAAGGAGCTGACCCCATGGAGAGCAATTTGGCAATCTTAACAAAATTACTAATCCATTTACCCTATGATCTAGTATTCCCACTTCTGGGAATGTATTCTGCAGTGATAAATCTTTACATGTATGAAATTGTTAGGTGCAAGCTTATTCATTACATCATGATTTGTAATAGCAAAAGATTGGAAACACTAAAGGTGTTTCCAGTTAAATTGTTAGTTAAATAGTTAAATAAATTGTGGGATTTGTGGAGAGAATTACAGCTGGAAAAAGGATGGGAAACCTCATATCTGTGCATTCAGTATGGTAGCCACCAGCTACCTGTGGCTATTTATAAATTTGAATTAATTAAAATCAGTGAAATTTAAAATTCTGTTTTTTGGTTGCACTAGCTACATTTAAAAGTGCTCAGCAGCTACATGTGGCTAGTGGCTACCCAATTTAACAGCAAAGATGTTCTATAGAACATTTTCATCAATGCAGAAAGTTCTGTTGGACAGTGCTGCTTTATATGGTGAGTATAAAAATATCTCTAAAACACAGATTACTTTTATAATAATTGACAGACACCTAAAGATAGATAGAAAATATATGGAAAACAAACTTAGGTTCTTTGTGAAAGTTTAAAACCCAAGTTTTAAACACATGGAATCTTTTCACAGATTTTTCTTTCTTAATAACTTCATTTTCTCCTGTCAGTTTACCATTTTCATATGTGTCAGTATGATGCCAGGTGGATTACATAATATGCAAAAAATTCAGTTGGTACAATTGCTGAAGGCAAACAAACAGCATAAAGGATTCTTGATGAATTAATTATTTTTTGGCTGGCTTTTAGTTTTTTGCCTGAAGATGTAACCTTCCTCAGCTCTTTATTGAGTGCATGCTCTAAATGAACTCTGAATTTGTTAGGTGCTGTGGCAAAAAGTTCAGTGATTATAGCTGGAATATTCTGAAATTAGGTTGTGGTATAATAAGAAAGATATTTGGTCTTTGCCCAGGTCCCTGGCACATAGCTTCTAAAACCTTTGGAATGTCCTGAGTAATACGAGTGTCTTTGGCATGCTAATGAGATGACTTTTGGTGAGGGCCTCCTAATTAGCTTTTTAAACTTTGATTAGGAGTTTGAAACTTTCAGCCCTGTCTCCCAACTCCAGGGAGAGGAGAAGGGCTGGAGATTGAGATAATCACCACTGGCCAAGGATTTAATCAATCATGCTTACGTTAATGAAACCTCCGTAGAATAAAAACCTCTGAACAACAAGGTTCTGGGAGTTTCCTGGTTGGTGGACACTTTTAGGTGGTGGGATGGTGGCATATATGGAGATGGCATGGAAGCTCCATGCTCCTTCCCACTTTCCTTGCCCTGTGCATCTCTTTTATTTGGCAGTTCCTGAGTTGTATATTTTATTATTAACTGGTAATAGGAATTAAAGTGCTTTCCTGAGTTCTGTGAGTCTTTCCAGCAAATTATCAAACCTGAGGAGGGGGTTGTGGAAACCTGCAGGTTGGTTGGAAGTATGGGTGGCCTGGGACTTGTATTTGGCATCTGAAGTGGGGGGCACCTTGTGGGCCTGAGTCCTTTAACTTGTGGGATCTAATGCTAACTCCCGGTAGGTAGTGTCAGAATTGAATCAAATCATTGTTTGAAGAAGTGGTGCTGGAAAAAACAGCACATGTTTGATGTCTGGAGGAAGAAAACCCTTTGAGGTATAACCTTTATATGGCTGCAGAACATATTAAAATGTTTATTTCAGAATCTGGCTTATGTTAGTGGTATCTAAGAAGAAGAAAATAGGAACTAATTACCACTTTAGTGTGCAGTGTTTTTTAAAAATGGGAATTGTACTATAAATTTGAGATACTAATAAATAATTAATTTTAAACAGATTCCCCCAAAATAAGAAAATTCCCCCTCTGGAAAATAAAGTTGCAGACTTTAGAGAAAAAGAATCATCTTTGAATTTATCTTATCAAAGTCATGACTGCTCTGGTGCCTGTCTGATAAAAACACCACTAACCTTCAAGGGAGAAAACCCTCTGCAGCTGCCAATCAAATGCCACTTCCAAAGACGACATGCGAAGACAAACTCGCATTCTTCAGCACTCCATGTGAGTTATAAAACCCCTTGTGGAAGGAGTCTACGAAACGTGGAGGAAGTTTTTCGTTACCTGCTTGAGACAGAGTGTAACTTTTTATTTACAGATAACTTTTCTTTCAATACCTATGTTCAGTTGACTCGAAATTACCCAAAGCAAGAAGAAATTGTTTCTGATGTGGATATTAGCAATGGAATGGAATCGGTGCCCATTTCTTTCTGTAATGAAATTGACAATAGAAAGCTTCCATACTTTAAGTACAGAAAGACTATGTGGCCACGAGCATATTATCTAAACAACTTTTCCAACATGTTTACTGATTCATGTGACTGTTCTGAGGGCTGCATAGACATGTGAGTAGAAAAACATGGCATTTCAAAAAATCTTCTGAATGTAGGGGTACTTGTCAAGAAGATTTGCTATGTATCAATTTGTCTGTCTGTCTCTGTCTAACTGTCTAAAACCTGTTCACCAAACGTCTGAAATGGAAAGATGTACTCTCTTACTAGCAGTAGAAAAGAAAACTCTTTACCAAATATTATACTAATTTGAAAATTATTTCTTCTAAGGATGAATATTTCCTTTAATCTAGTACCATAATCATCACAGTGGCAATTACAGCTAATGCCATGTAATAGTGCCAAAAACTGTGACAAGTGTTTTCCATATATTTTCTTATTTAATCCTTACAAAACCCCATGAGGTAGGTAATATTATTTCCATGTTACAAATGAGGAAGTTGAGAAGCCAATTGTAAGGTCATAGGGCAAAGAAACTGGAGAACCAGGATTCAAACCTGTGCTCTTAACCACTATGTAATATGTTTTATTTTACTTTTTTTTAAAACTAATTAATTAATTTTTTTGTGAGGAAGATTAGCCCTGAGCTAACATCTGTGCCCATCTTCCTCTACTTTATATAGGATGCCGCCACAGCATGGCTTGACAAGCGGTGTGTCAGTGTGTGCCCGGGATCCAAACCTGTGAACTCCGGGCCACTGCAGCAGAGCGCGCGTACTTAACCACTGCACCACCGGGCGGGCCCTGTTTTATTTTACCTTTACAAATCATTTCCTTGCTACTTTTTTTTTTTTTTTAATAATTTTGTTTGTTTATTTTTTTCCCCCAAAGCCCCAGTAGATAGTTGTATGTCATAGCTGCACATCCTTCTAGTTGCTGTATGTGGGACACGGCTTCAGCATGGCCGGAGAAGCGGTGCGTCGGTGTGCGCCCGGGATCCGAACCCGGGCTGCCAGCAGCGGAGCGCGAGCACTTAACCACTAAGCCACGGGGCCAGCCCTCCTTGCTACTTTTTTAGAAAGTTAATGGTGCTTATAATTAGTACTCTCTTGGTCATAACATTGACATTCCATAAAAAAACGAAAACTTTCCTAATGTATTGAGACTTTAAAAACTTTTTTGTTTTAAAAGTGTATAATATACATGTATTTGTAGGTATGCATATATAGAGTGCAGTTGCATTATTTGTATATTTAATTTAATGCAAATTTAGCTACCTATACTAGGCAAAAGAATGAGAGAGATAAAAAGAAATAATTTAAATATTATAGATAGTAGTTTTCACCATCCTCTCAGTTAGTTGGAGTGTGAGATGAGATATATAAATCTGCTGTTACCTCAGTTTGGCTCAGTTCCTTTAGGCCTGTCATAGAGGCAGCCTCTCACTATGCCAAGTTTTATTCTATTTAAAAATAAGTTTGTTTTTTTTTTTTAAAATATTGCCTCTAAATATAATTCAGCTACATCTGGTCAAGCTCAACCTCTTTCAGTGCTGGAGAAAAAAACTGACTGTTGGAAAATGTTTAATCTACTTTGTGGTCAATTTATGAGATCTTTTAAAGAGTAATTTTGACCATATGTGATTTTTGCCTTTAGACTGTAGAAACTAACCTTCACACAACATACATCACCAGTGTATGTATTTTCATCTGTTGGTCAGAAATGACAAGAGAAATCACACAAGTAAGCAAAGGCTGAATCTGGAAATGGACATAAGCACTGTGGTGGCCAGGGATTCTAATTCTTACAGGAATGAGAATTAAACATGTCCCATGCATGGCAGAGAGTAGGCACTGAGCTCTCCAAGGGGCTAGAAAAAGGGACCTGCGAAACACTGAGAAGTAGGCTAATATCTCACAGGGCCTGGAATCGTATTAATAACAACGAGGTTTAGAACTGTGAAACCCATAGGTCAGAGCCAGAGCAATGGGGAAAGCAGCCAAGATAGAGGAGCACAGAAGGTATGATTTCAGACAGTCAAAGCACACAAAGACATTTAGGACCGCGAAGGCAGCATGAGTCCCAACAAATGGGAGAATTCACACCTGAAGAATCAGAGATAAATGTAGAATCTGATTAAAAGAAATTTTAAAATAGGTATGTTGAAAATGTCCAAAGATATAAAATATTAGCATCCATGTAACCAGAAAAGGAGATTATTTTTTTTAAAAAAGGTATATATGAAAAAGAACCATTTGGAAATATGGGAAATAAAACATATGGTCATTGAAATGAAAAACTGAATAGACTAAATGGTAGCATTGGTATAGCTGGAGAAAGAATTAGTGAATTGCAAGGCAAAACTAAAGAGATCTTCCAGAATGCAACGACACAAAGATATGGGGAAAATAACTTACAGGTTAAAAAATGATGGAGGCTAAAATGAGAAACTCCACCACATATCTGAGAGGAAAAGAGCAACATTCAAAGAGATAATAGCTGATAATTTTCCATAGTTGAAGAAAGATAGGAGTCTTCTGAATGAAAAAGCCTACTGTGTACTAAAAAGGGAAAATAAGATAAATGTACATCTAAATATATCATGATACAACTTAATAAGTATCTAGGGTAAAGAGTAAATCTCAAATGCTATCAGATGGAAAAGAGAAAAAATAGACTGACAACATACTTTTCATCAGAAATGATAGAAGACAAAAAGAGGCACATTAGCTTAAAATGCTGAAGGAAAATAAATGTAAAACTAGAATTCTGTACCAAGCCAGACAATCATTTTGCAGGGGGAGGGAGTAGGGTATTCAAACAAGTACACAGTGATTGAAGACATGAATACCTACTTTCCAGCAATAGTACTTTTTTTTTTTCTGCTGAGGAAGATTTGCCCTGAGCTAACAGCTGTGCCAGTCTTCCTCTATTTTGTACATGGATCATGCCTAGGAACCGAACCCAGGCTGCTGCAGCAGAGCATGCCGAACTTAACCAGTAGGCCATGGGGCTGACACCAATAGCACTTTTAAGTACATCTAGAGTATCGTTTTCCAAGCTACAGATTTAGTGGGATGTAAAATCATTTAGCATTTTTTAAAATTAAATAGTACATAAAATACCCAAGTGCATCACACATGGTGAAGTTCAATGCCACTGTTTTTTCCATTTATACATACACACATATATAAATATGTGTGCCTGTGTGGGATCATGAGGAAAATGTATCTTACTGTGGGTCATCATAATAAATATTTGAAAACTAACTCTAGAGATGCTTATCCATGTACATAAGAATAAGGATGTTCATTGCATCATTGTTTGTTATATTGAAAACTGGAAGCAACTTAATTGTAACAAGCAACTTAATTGCATATCTAAATGCTGTAGAAAAGTTAAAAGGAAGTAACTAGATTTGTGTATGACACGGATGGGTCTCAAAAATGTATGGAACAAAGAAAGCAAATTGTAGCATATAACTACAATAAAATTTTCAAAATAGTACAATATATTGTTTGTAGATATATATGTATGTAAAAGTATAAAGGATGCAGCACCAAACCTCTTGAGAGTTTAGTTGTATCTGTACTGTTTTATTTTATTTTTAAAGATCATATATACAGTGTATGTGTTTTATGTACATAGGAAAAAGAAGGACTAGACAAAACGTGACAACTAATTCTATGCGGTGGAAATATGAGTTTATTATATTAATATTTGTATTTTTCTGTACTTTTTAAACTTGGCGAACAAAATCATATCAAAAAAAGCAACTGTAAATTTCTGTACCTGTAAACAGAATCCAAATTAATGAATTTGTTTTTTTCTGTTGCAAACAGTCGCTACCACTCTATGATGTGTATTATGTATATACAGAAAAATGCAGAAGAGAATCATAGAGGAAAAGACTAAAGTTTCTTGTTCAACAGTGGAGACAGGTCCAGAAATTTTAACCAGCTCACCAGTAATCACATATCTAGTTTATAGCTGAGATACCCAGGTTTCTTACTCCCTGTTGAGTTATAAGTCCCTGGCATGTTAGATAATTACTAAATAGTTAGAGGGAAAAGACTTTTATGATTGCATGTTTCCTGTTTAGCAACATTATGAAAAACAGATTGTAGTAGCCAGATACCCAGCATCAGTCTCCCCAGTCTGTTTTCATGTCATTGGAGGGAGAGATAATTTAAGACATCTGCAAAACTATGTATGCCCTTTTGAGTTTGACACACACAAGTTTATCCATTGTAGGAGACTGGACCTAGGAGAATTTTCACAAACAAGCTTCTGCTGAATGGGAAATGAAGGGAATTCATTTTGAAAAGTTAAAGAAAACTCATATAGTTAAGTATTTATTTCGTGAGCAAATAGGGCAGTTTATAATTATTTATAAACTTTGGATACATATTGTCTTTCGAAGAAGTCTATTTAGGAAAGAAGTCCAACTGTCCATGAGGCAAACGACTGTTTTCAGTACAGTTATATCCTTTGCCATATCATTTGCACTTTTATCAAGACAGTCTCTTTACTTGGTGCTTTTTTATTCTAACTTCTCCATCCATTGCCTTCCTTTTAGAACAAAATGTGCGTGTCTTCAACTGACAGCACGGAATGCCAAGACTTGCCACTTGTCAAGTAATAAAATAACCACTGGATATAAATATAAAAGACTACAGAGACAAATACCTACTGGGTAAGATACCTTGAGGATTTGTTGCAGGGTGTTTGTATCTTTGAAGGTGGGTACTTTATCATTGTGGCCTATAGTCTTATAGATGTTGTTAAATCTTAGTTTCTTATACCAGAAATCTAAATTAAGGAATAAAAACCCAAACCTGTATATTGTTCTTAGAAATGGAAGTCAGAGAGCCACATGTATCATGCAGAGTGTTCTCAACCACTCATCTGCTCTGAGTCTGGCTCTTACCCCTCTAGGCTTAGCCTACTTTGGGCAGGTATTCCGCCATTAAGAAATATGCTGTGCAAAGCTCATCTGAGAATTGGGAATGTTCAACCTTTCAAGATTGTTATTATTAAAAAATAAACAGAGGGCTGGCCCGGTGGCATAGCAGTTAAGGTCGCATGCTCCGCTTTGGCGGAACCCAGGGTTCGCAGGTTCGGATCCCAGGTGCGGACCGACACACCGCTTGTCAAGCCATGCTGTGGCGGCGTCCCATATAAAGTAGAGGAAGATGGGCACGAATGTTAGCCCAGGGCCAGTCTTCCTCAGCAAAAAGAGGAGGATTGGCAGTGGGTGTTAGCTCAGGGCTAATCTTCCTCACAAAAAAATAAATGAATAAACAGAAACAGAAAATATTTCTTCCTAGACATTCCCTTCCCAGACATTTCCTTCTTAGACTTTTTTTTTTTAAGGTTTGTTTTTTTGCTGGGCAAGATTCGCCCTGAGCTAGCATCTGTTGCCAATCTTCCTCTCTTTTTCTTCCTTCCCCAAAGCCACAGTACATAGTTGTATATTCTAGTTGTAAGTCCTTGTAGTTCATCTATGTGAGCTGCCACCACAGCATGGCTACTAGCAGAAGAATGGTGTGGTCCCACACCCGGGAACCGAACCCAGTCCACTGAAGCAGGGTGTGCCGAACTTGAACCACTAGGCCATCGGGGCTGGCTCTCTTAGATATTTTTAAAGAACTAACATTTACTCTGTGCCAGGCATTGTCTCAAGCACCTTATAAATATTGACTCGTTTAATCTTCACAAAATAACCCTATGAGGTAGGTACTGTCATATAACCCCCATTTTATTTATTTATTTATTTATTTATTTATTTATTTTTTATAAGTTTTATTTTTTATTTTTATTTATTTATTTTTTAATTTATAATTTTTTTTTCATTTATTTATTTTTCCCCCAAAGCCCCAGCAGATAGTTGTATGTCATAGCTGCACATCCTTCTAGTTGCTGTATGTGGGACGTGGCATCAGCATGGCCAGAGAAGCAGTGCGTCAGTGCGCACCCGGGATCCAAACCCCGGGCCGCCAGTAGCGGAGCGCACGCACTTAACCGCTAAGCCGCGGGGCCGGCCCTAACCCCCATTTTAAAAATGGAAAATTGAAACACGGAGAGGAGGTATGATGGGAACCTAGGCAGTATAGCTGTAGGAGCCTTCACACTTAGTCTGCCTCCTTTGGTAATTATTAGTGAGGTAGCAATATAAACTGCTTTCCCTTTTAATTTAGGATGTCTGGTTGATTTTCTCTTACATATTTTATTGACAGCATTTATGAATGCAGCCTATTGTGCAAGTGTAATCGACAAATGTGTCAAAACCGAGTTGTCCAGCATGGACCTCAAGTGAGGCTGCAGGTATTCAAAACTGAAAAGAAAGGATGGGGAGTACGCTGCCTAGATGACATTGACAGAGGGACATTTATTTGCATTTATTCAGGTAAAGCAAAGGTTTGTTTTCAAATTACTCCATAGTAAGATCTGTATTTCTGAATCTCCATTTTACTAGTCAGGGCCATTGAGATCTTATAGCAGGAACAAGAGCAACAATATATTGGAGGAGCATCAGAGGAAGAAGGCAAGTGACTGGGAAATCGAGCACTGAAGGGATGAGATACCTTAGGAGGTACTGGATGTTCCAGAAAAGAAAGGCTCAGAGATAAAACTTGGGTTATTGTGTCAGGCACATTTTTTATGTTTCCGTGGCTACAGATGCTTTGGGGTAAGGTAAGAAAAATTTTAAATAGGAAACTAAATGACTGACTTGCCAAGGTAAAGATTATCAATCAAAGACTATCTTCTTTAATGTTTTGAGCTATTAGAATTTAATAAGTTAATTTTGTGATAAATATTTGCATGTGGTGATTCAGGCAGTGACTTAGGCAGCTCACTTGAGAGAGCTGCCCACATTCTGAGCAAAACTTCCCAACCAGTATGTTACAGTTGTGCAGTTACTGACTCTTTCGGGCCACAGCCCCCAGGGCAGACATGTCGGTCTCCAGTAGTCTTGGCCATTTACCCCAGAGTGTCAGGCAAAAATCCTCACTTCCTATGTGTACCATAAAATGAGAAAGGTTAAGGAAACACATCTCCAGAGCCAGTCTAAAGGAAACGAGCTAGACGGAATCTTGACAGCCAGGCAACAGGGACCAGAGCAACCCCCTCATCTGAAATTCCAGGTTCACTTCAGTGAGGGCAAGAATTATCAGAATTCAGAGTAGTTACACTTAGATCCCTACTACATACCGCTTACAGCCACACATACTACACAACTTGACCAGTCGTCTCTCATATTTCTCAAAATAAGTCTTTGATGAAATTCAGCTGCCTATAAAATGCAGGAGGGTGTCTAGGAAGTATTGTTGGCATTATCTGCATTGCTAGAAATTGCACCTAATGTATCTCACTGATCCAGCTGCTAATTTTTGACTTAGTGACCGTAATTTTGAGTCCCCTGAAAGAAAATGCATAAACTTTAAGATTTTAATGTTATAGTAGGACTTAATATGAGAACAATAGGCACTTATCACCACAGATTTAAATAGGTCACTTTTATAAAAAGAGTATAGGTTTTAAATGATAGTGTCTTTAACTAGACACAAAAGCTGCAATTTTAACACTGGAGTTCACCACTTTAATTTTCTAGAGTGCTTTCTGATTTCTATTTTTGTTTTATATTATTGTAGCTAAATCTTTTCTTTTTCATGTTATACCAAAACAGACAAATGCTTTTTTTAGATGCCCTGTGTTTTTTTCATATACTGGAAGATATGAAATCTCTTATTGGTCTTTTGTTTATTATTTCTTACAATAATTTTCTAGGATCGGTTAATGTGTTTATCCTCATTCTAAAAATAAGGTACACCTCACAAGATTCTTTAGTAATGGAGCAGAATAGAGATGCCCTTTTGTTGCTTAACAATTTATCTTTTGTCTTGTTAAATTCTTTTACTTTTTTGTTTTAGGAAGATTACTAAGCAGATCTAACACTGAGAAATCTGAAGCTATTGATGAAAATAGAAAAGAAGAGAATATTATGAAAAATATGTTTTCGAAAAAGAGGAAAATAGAAGTTGCAGATTGTGAGGTTGAAGCTATCCCATTAGAATTGGAAACACATTCTAGAAGTGCTGAGACTGAGATACATCCACCTAGGTTCAATAATAATCCAAAACAGCCTGTTACGTAAGTAAGATCTTAGGAACTCAGACAAGATTGATCTATATGTATTATTGATCAAGAGTAGTTCATTATCTTTCCTCTTTTTCTTTCTTATTTTCTCCCCAACTCCTATGTATCTCTTACATATCGGTTTGCTTCACAGTTATAAGTTTAACACGGTGAGAAATCTAAGACACTTAGATTTGAAAATCTAACCAACATATTTTATTTCCTCAGTGTTCCATTTCTGGAGTTTTACCTTTAAAAACTTTATGACTTTAATCAGGTTCTTTATGGATGTCATACTTTTGCAGTTCTTTTTATTTTCTATCACCATTTTACTTGCAAAGCTTTTCATAGATTTTCTTCATTTTTTTAACATACTTCAAAAATGATTGACTTTAAAATATGATTATGTTTCCTTCTTCTAGTGAAGGGTAGGCATAAATGTTATTACTTAGATTAATTTCTAATGGATGTTTATGTAAAAGTAATATTATCTATAATTCAAGGTCCAGTAAAGAGAATTTTTAGTGATATGCAGAATAACTTTTTTTTTCCTTTTCAGAGAAATGAAATGTAACAATATTTCAAGAATTCAGTATCATTCAGTCATTAGAAGTCCTAAAGCCAAGACAGCCTTTATTCAACGCAATGGGGAAAAGATGGTAAAAACTGCAAAATGTAGATGGGGCCCTTCTGAGAACATTAACTATTATCTCCCCTTTCTGTCTTTTACTTAGTTCAGATTGTTTGTGTTACTTAATAATGTGCAGGATTTCTTTTATTGTTTTGGAATGGGTGTACTGTTGAAGTATTAGGACCATGTTTTATTTACTTAGTATCCTCCATGGTGGTTGCCATGTTCCCAAGTTAGGTATATAAGGAGAATGTTGGTCATGATCTGACAGTGTGTTACACTGAGCCTAAGAACTATCCAGTTCTGAGAATTTGTAGGAGAAGCTAAAGTGTTCAAGAGTTGATAGTGATACTTAATACGAAAAAGAATGGAGTAATTTAGGTTAGGGAGATAAGGTTGTGAGATGTAGGAGAAAGAAGAGATGCAGCCTAATGAAAGAATCACCCAGCAAGGAACATTTTACATGATAGCCTCTGAAGGTAAACTTTTCAGTCTGAACTGAGAAAAATAACTAGTCAGAGACTATAACTGAGAAGCAGAGAAAGATGCAGGAAAAAGAACAGAGATGGACATAATGGTAGTTCACGGTGGGGCTTGTTGATGAAAAATAAAAACTCTGTCCTAGGTGGCGTGCAAATATTTGTCCTCTGCCTGGTAACACACAGAGGGTGCCTCCTCAGTATCACATAATTAAGAAAAGATTGAGCCATGGGATCACATAGACTGGGTTTGACCTCCAGCTTTGCTGCTTACATCTGGGTGTACATCTGGTTGCTTGCTAGCTGGGTGACATCTCCATATCTATTTTTCTTTATCTGTAAAGTGAGGATAATTGTATCTATCTCGGAGTTAAGAGAATTTAATGAGATAAACATCGAAACTTTGTGTAGCACAATGCTTGTCACCCAACTAAGTGCTCAATAGTCGTTGACCATTTAAGTACTTGAATGGTAATAATATGGTCAGCATTTATTGAGCAGTTAGTTGAGTGCCAAGCATTGTGCTAAGCATATACCACTTTTTAAAAATTATTACCATTTAAAGTGACTGCAGTGTCTACAACGCATAAATATAGGCAACTCCTTTAACCTTTTCTTTGAAGTAGAAACTAGCCAAAGAGTGTTTTTATCTTTGCACATCTTATAGTTGAAGCCAAATTTATAATCTGATATCAGAATTGAGGGATACAAACAGATGTATTTGAATTTTAATGCCTAAAGAATGTCTTGACCAAGGTCTTTATAGTTTTTATAGCTGTGGCTTACTAAAGTGCCTAGAAGTAGAATATAGCCAAAAGGGCTCCATCACTCCAAAGATTTTTTATGATACCAGCTTTGAGGCTTTCAAAACTAATCTAGTAGATCCAGATTCGTTTGTATGAAGTTTATGAAGATTGATTGTTAATAAAAGAGGCCTAACTGCTAAATTAAATTCTTAGTACCTAACCTAGAAAGTAAAGACATCTTCCTTGTCTTCTTTTAAGGGATTTGCTTCCTCAGAGTTTGTCACCTCAGAAGATAATGATGGATTTAAATCATCCCAAGTACATCTGAACTCTAAAGCCAAGGAAACGAAAAGTAGGCTTTGTTTCACTCTGTGATTGCCTGCCTCTTCAGCCTTTTTGTCTCTCTTGCTCAATACCTGTGGCTCGTTTTCTCAGACTCCATAACAAACATGCTGCATTCATCACAAAAGTTACTACTTGTCTTGATCAGAGGTTGCCAAACTATTGTTTGTGGGCCAAATCTGGCCCACCACCTGTTTATATATGGCCCATGAGTGGAGATGATTTTTACCTTTTTAAATAACTGGAAAAAATGAGAATATGAATAATATTTCATGACACTTGAAAATTATATGAAATTATAATTTCAGTGTTCATAAACAAAGTTTTATTGGAACATAGCCACAGTCATTTGTTTAGATATTGTCTCTGAATACTTTTATGCTGTAGAAGAGGCACAACAGACCGCATGGCTGACAAAGCCTAAAATATTTTCTATTTGGCCCCTTATATAAGTTTGCCAACCCCTGGTCTAGATGCCAACAGTGACCTGATGCATGGCAGGAAGGAGTGGGGTGGACAACTCTGAGTCTACATATTCCACCATGTTATCTATGGCTTTGGAAGCATTGTCCAAAGCAGCCATTTCCTAACTCTTTGTTTGGGGCTCCTTTAAAAACAAAGACACATCATTCTCCTGCCGTACTCCAACCAACGCTGCTGCAGGGAATGCTCAGCAAAAATATTGCTACCCTGAGTGCTTGTCTTTCAGTGTTACTGGTCCTGCCACAATCACTATTACAACATGACAAACCTGGATTTTGGTACTTTTGCATTTCACTATATCCCTCCATGAGGAGACATTGCTAAGAGATGACCCTTTCTGAAGAGCTGACCAGCCATTGCCTCTTCTCCCTTTGAGCTTCCTTGTATCTGCACCTCCAACTCCTCACTTAGTCTTTTTTTTTTGGTGAGGAAGATCAGCCCTGAGCTAACATCTGCCAATCCTCCTCTTTTTTCTGAGGAAGACTGGCCCTGAGCTAACATCCGTGCCCATCTTCTTCTACTTTATATGGGACGCCGCCACAGCATGGCTCGACAAGCAGTGCATCAGTGCACACCCGGGATCCGAACCAGCGAACCCCGGGCCGCGGCAGCGGAGTGCGCGCACTTAACCGCTTGCGCCACTGGGCTGGCCCCCCTACTTAGTCTTAAAGGATGGAGATTGGGAGAGGCAAGGCAGCTCCTTGACAGAAAAAGTTTATCAAGAAAGGGTGTTTATGTATTACAATTATTTCACCATTGTAGGGGAGGAAAATCTCTTCCTCTACCCATCTGAGGTTGTCCAGCTGGATCCCTGTATATTAGACTGACAGAAGACAGATTGACAAGAGAAAAACAAAGAGAAGTTTATCACCATGTATTACCATAATCATATGTATCATACGTATAACACATGGGAATATGCAGAGATAGTAACTCAAAGAGGTGGCTTAGAACTCCAGCTTACCTAGCATCTTAGCCAAAGAACAATACATTTTTAGAGCAGCGACCAGACAAAGGAAAAGGACCTTAGGTCCCTAGGGGCAGCAAATTGTGGGGAGGCAAATATATGGGAAACCAATGATAGTAAAGGCTAGTTAGTAAAGTTTGTTATGTAGATTCCTCTGGTTCAGTCTCCAGGCTAATGAAGGTCTAAAGTTGTCTCCTGTGATTAACTTTTCTCTTTCCTGGTAGGAGGAGGGACACCTTTGTACATTTATGTCCTGCTTTTAGGCAGATAGGGGGAGGGCAAAGCTTTTTCTGCATATGCTTCTTAATTGCCCTTAGTTCAGAATAATTCTTATGTCAAAGAGGCATATTTTGGGATGACCTATTCTGATTTCCTTCCCCATTTAATGCATGTGAGCCACAAGGAGTACTATTGCTTTTGTTTTTTTGTCATTTTCATTGACTGCTACAACATATGGCAGGCACTACAAAAATCAGTTATGTACTATTATGCCTCACAAGTAACCTATGATTAAAATATGAGTACATGTAGGAATAATAGCCAGCAACAGTAATGATTAAATCAAGATTAATTTTAGAGAAACAGAATTTCTTTGTGCCACTGAGTTAAGTGGCAAAAGAGACTTTTTTAAAATAAATGATTTTACTTATTCCATTTGACATGCATTCATACTCTTGAATATTCTCAAAAAATTATTTCCATTAGATAAGAAAAATCATTAAGCAGTTCATCATCTTCTAAAGTATTATTGTTTTTAAAGGTGTAATTATTGAATGATCATCTAGCAAAAACACCAAACACTAATGTGTACAAAATCCATAGCAATATAGTTACTGCTATTGGGACTTGTAGAGGGTGAGTGACTCCGACCAGTCTTCTCAGGGCTTTCATTGCTGTCTTAAAGGCCTGGAGAGCTCCCTGAGCACCCACTGCGTTATAGCTGTTTAAAATATACTTAAATGCAGATTCCAAAATTGAAGAGAGGTAAGTCAGTTTGTGAGGAGTAGAGATTAAATATAGTACTAGGAAGCAACATATGTAGATTCATAACAAGGCACTCATGTATTAGCAAGAAGGCAGACTTTGGAGCCAGACATTTCTGGGTTTGTTACCCCACTTCTCATTATTATTGCTGGTCAGGTGAATCCCTTAACCCCTCAGAGGCTCAAAGTTTTCATTTGTAAAACTGGAGTACTGTCTACCTTAACACATTGTAAGGATTAGCGATAATTAAAGTGACTAGCATTTGATTAGTACTGTTAATCTCAGCACTATTGCTCAGCCAATATATTTCCTGATACTTCCTTCCAAAATGTTTATTAGAGGACTCAAGCTCAAACAAAATTGAAGATTCTGAAGACAGTCTGCTGATTGAATCAGATGTGATAGATATAACTAAATGTAGAGAAGAAACTCCACCAGGGGGCAGATGTAACCAAGCAACCACATTGGATAATCAGAATATTATAAAGGAGTTTGAGGTTCAAATACAAAAGCCCCAAGAGGAAAAATCTCCAGCATGTCAAAACCAGCAGGTCTTTTGTGATAAAGAGTTGCCAAGTGAAACCAGGAATACTTCATCTGATTCTCTAAAGAAGTTCAATAAAGGGAATGTGTTTTTATTGGATGCCACAAAAGAAGGAAATGTGGGCCGCTTCCTTAATGTGAGTATATGGGCTGAGATTCACATTTCTAAACAACTTTTTTTCTATGCTTTTTAACAAAATCATGAGGAAAATATGATTAACAGACTTTAAAGCCAGATTACCTGGATTAGAATGCCAGTGACCTCCACTTATATGACCTTGGGGATGTTAGTTGATCTCTCTATGCCTTATTTCCCACCTTTATAATATGGAGATGATAATAACTGTCTTCATAGGATGTTGTGAGGATTAAGTGAATTATATATATCAAGTATTTAAACAGTACCTAGGACATGGTAAACATTTGCCTAAGAAAACTATAAGAAATGGTATATAAGAAAATCATTTATATTTATTGAAAGATTTTCAAGATTTGTTATTTCCAAAAAATCACAATGGGACACACAGAATAAGTTTCTCTTTTGAGCCTTATATAATACAATAGGTCTTATTCAGAAATGCCTCTAAATGTCAAAAAAAATCAGTTGGAGGTATTTATGTTTTACTTACTTTCACTAAGTTTTGAATGTTTTAGTGGCTTAGTGTAGAAAATCAGTACATTTATCAGAATATTGCATTTTACTATCTTACTCCTTTTTTTATTCCCAAACCATAGTCATTTTCTGTTTGTGTGTATGTTTGGGATATATGTAATGAGATTTATTTCATTTATACAGAGAAATATTTATGATTCCTCTGATTTTAAGGTTAATTGACACTTAAGACTCCTGTTATCTTCATGATAAGAGCGATAATTTGTATTATTGGTCATATCTCCTGTGGAGAGTGGAATTGGAGTTACCTTGTGGCTTTCCCATTAGACTTGTATCCTATCCTGTCTCTTATCATCATATGTGGTTGTCAGAGAATTTATGGTTCCAGGAATCCTCTAGGAAAAAAAAAAAAATCCCCTTCAACCTCTAGTCTCAGTGTCTTTATAGTCTCTCCTGTCTTTGGCAAACTAGACCATGTGGAAGCCCTGACCCACCCAATCAAGAGCTGAGCCAGACCCCGCTGCGTGCCCCCTACTCTCTGGGTTCCACTTTGTCCTTGCTTATCATATCCGGGAGAGTGAAGAAGAGTCATGCAAGGAGGCTGAGAACTTTGATCCCCTCCACATACCCTTTGGAGTTCACTCTAGCACACTGACCCCTGGATATGGCCTTAGTTTTTCTCTTTGATCTCTATTAGAGCTCTTCTTCCCTGTGGGTGAAATTAGTGGGATGAGCAACCTTGACTTTTCCCTTAAAGTAATGGTGAAGGAAGGGAAGCATGCATGGCCTGTGATTGTTATAGGCATTCCTTTTGACACCTTTAAGGTAAGCTCAACACTTCTTTAAAATGTGACCTGTGAATGGTGTGAAATTTATGTGCAGTGATAATTTTACATGTATTCAGCTGCCATCAGAAGAGAAAATATTCTTAAGTCATAAAATCTTTAAAACCAAAGAGCTTTTTCCTTGCTAGGTGAATCTGCTTATTTGGCTTATTTCTTTTTCTCTTTCCTAGTTAGCAGTATACTTAGTTAACAGGAAATTGAATCTTCTCCTCCCTTTTTCTGTCCCCCAAATGCTGTTCTCTGTTGCACTTTGACTACTTTTACACTGTCACCAAACATATCAGGAGCTATTCAACATGTCAGGAGAGGCATTAAAGAAGGATCCCCAGGAAGGGACTGTCATGGTTTTATTTCCCATCAGTTATGTTGAATAATGGCTGCACTGCTACAATATGGTTGCTTTCATCTCTCCCAGTCAGCACACAAGCCAGGTCCCTCCCTTGTTTGTAGAAGAAAAAAAAACAGAGCTTTTCTTTCTTTCTTTAATTTTTTTGCATAAATAATACATTCACATGATTTAAAAATTGAAATAAAATAAAAGCTATACAGAATACATACATTCAGCCAAAGAGAATTCTATTGCAAGGTAGCTCTGAGCCTGCCAAGTAGACACCATGAGTAAAGCTCTCTCTGGCCCAAATTGAAAAAATATATGGGCAGGAAGTTATCATTGAAATTAAATGGTGGCAGACATGTCCAAGGAATATTGTAGGGATTTGATCCCTTTATGAATCTGGTGATAGATGAATGTGTGGAGATGGCAGCTGGTGGGCAACAGAACAATATTGGAATGGTGGTAATAGGAGGAAATTGTATCATCATGTTAAAAGCCTTGGAAAAGGACATTCTTCATATTAAAGTTTTTTGTTTTGTTAAAAAAAAAACTTACCTTGAGAAATACTATGCTCCCACTCATGCCTGCCCCCACTCCTCCCTTTATAGTAAAATTATTTTTATTGGTTTATTGTGTATTCTTATAGTGTTTTTTCATGCAAATACAAGTAAATATAAATATGTTCTTATTTCTCCCCCTTTCTTACATAAAAGATAGTATATTATATTCACTATCCAACACCTTGTTTTTTAAATTAACAATATACCCTGGGATCTTTCCATATCAGTACACAGAGAGCTCATTCTTTTTGTTTGTTTTGTTTATAGCTGCATAGAATTCCATCATGTGGATATACCAAAGTTTATTTAACAAGTCCTCTTTAGATAGACATTTAGGTTGTTTAGAAATTTTTACTGTTAAAAACAATGCTCAGTGAATAATCTTACACATAGATACATGTGCAGATGTATCTGTAGAATATATTCCTGGATATGGGATTGCTGAGTCAAAGAAAAAATGCATTTATAATAATGGTACATATTGACAAATTGTCTATTATAGGAGTTTGTACCATTTTGCATTTCTACCAGCAAGATATAAGAGTGTCAAAACAGGGCTTTTCTGAATGGGTTCCTACTAGTAACAGAATTGTAATGAGCTATGATATTTTATATATTAGTCAGCAAAAAAAAGGAAAGAAACAAAAATAAGTGAGTTGTGTTGGAAACAGAATGGTATTCTAATGCTTCAAAGAAAAATGCATCAACCTTTATGCTATATCTAACTTCTGTATTTAATTTTTTTTTAACAGCATAGTTGTTGCCCAAATCTTTTGGTACAGAATGTTTTTGTAGAAACACATGACAGGAATTTTCCATTGATGGCGTTCTTTACTAACAGGTTTGAAATTTTTTTATATGATTTAATTTTGAAATTGTGACTTTAAAAATAACAGGAAAATATGTGCTATAGCATACCCTAATATCTGGTAGCCTAGAATATTCTATTATCCCAAACTATTCCTAGTCAATAAAATTTAAACAGCTGAAATTTCAATTCTTATATCCTCTTATAATTAATGCCTGAAAGGGCAAAGGGTGGCAGGTCTCACCCAGTTCAATCCAGGGAATAAGTGACGCAGAGTGTTAACATCTTCTGTAAGTCAGAACTGCCTCCAACTACCACACCACAGGCCTCATCATATCACTGGGTTTCACTCTTCGCAAAACACTTCCTTTCTCATGGATATTGACAAGTGTCTTCTTAGGATTTTAGTAGATTTGAAATAAACCTCAAATGATTATTCTTAATAAAAGAGCATTCCTAATTGGTGGGTGTTGGAGGGAGAGAATAAACCATTTTTGAGGATAGTTAATGATGTTAATATGAGATTGATATAATCAAGTTTGGTTCATTTGATAGTTATTCAAGGTAATTTATGATTATTTTTTGATTTCTACTTTCTAGATATGTGAAAGCCAGAACAGAACTAACTTGGGATTATGGTTATGAAGCTGGGACTATGCCTGAGAAAGAAATCCTCTGCCAATGTGGGGTTAATAAGTGTAGAAAGAAAATATTGTAAATCTGTAGCTAATGCCTGTTCATGAAACTAGCTTATCAAGCTGAAATTAGAGCCATGCAAAAGAACCCTCAGTCATCAGTAGAATTAATTTAGGTTGTGATCCATCAAGAGAATTCCTCTCAGTTTACCCTTGTCGGGGGTTTATTTGCGTGACTTAGAAATGCCAGGAACAAAATAAGGCCATTTTCATATGCATAGGGTATCCCTTTATTCTTACTACTGTTCAACTTTACATGAGTAGCATGACGAGTGTATATTTTATATAAAGTACCACTATATAATTTGTAACTTATTTGTAAATTATATAAAGAAAAACAAATGTCACAATAGAATTCAGCTGTTCTTACTGTTCTTATTGCTTTTGTGATTATCTTTTGAGTTCTTACCCTCGAAGGGCCAAATTTCATATCTTTATTTATAAAACTTATTTATGTTTAATTCCTGGTAAATAATTTACCATTATGAGCCATAAGGTGGGCAACAGAGCCTGAGGAATATGTAAAAACTAACTTTATACATATTACTTCCAAGGATTTTAGCACTAGTTGGAGAAGCTGTATCTGGTCCATGAAACACTGTCCCATCAAACCATTTGAGTGAGAAGGGGGAAGGGTTTGATAAACTCTTTGAGATGAAACTTCTTTTTCACGGATTCTCTTTACTCTTTCAGTACAAATGCAGACAGGAAAAGAGGGAATAGAAACCTGGAGTAATTGGAATATTTCTGTTCTAGATAGAGTAGAGCCATAAGAAAAGGAAACTTAGAAACTAGTCACACTTGGCTTATTTAGGCCAGAAAGAATTAGGCTGGGCAAGAATTTCACTTAAAAAACAAAACAAAACAAAATTCTGCTGAGCTGCAAAGTCTGAAACAGCCCCTTGGTCTCTCTTGGGCATGATGTGCAAATTGTTTTTCTAGAGAAAAAGGGAAAGAGTTACTTTGCTATAGGATACCCAGCCCTGATCATCTAGTGGAAAGGGGACTGAGAATCTCCAAGAATCAAAACTAATTTTATCTATAACAAAGATGTACGTTTGGCTGCCAGGAACTTCCCCCTTTGAACCAGGATGGGAATACTAGCTCAAAAGGGTTTGTAATTAAAAGTAGTTCTGGTTTTTGAGAGGTTATATATTTTTTTCTTTTTTCTGAACTTGATTCTGGGTTTAATTTGGTTACCTTTCAAACACAAGTCTATACTAAGTTTGGACCCAATTTAATTAAAAAATATTGAACTTGATGAAAATTTTACTTGAAATTGTTTTAGAGAGTGGGAAATCAAAGAACTAGGAAAAGGAGCAAAAAATTATAACCCAACAACCTGTAGACAGATGAGGAAAATTGAAAAGTCCATTTATTCACAGAAAAGATGCAAGAATTTTAGGCAGTGGACTAAAATAAAGTGAAGACACTTGATCAATATGGGAAATATTTTTGTGCAGAAATCCTGACATCTTAATCTGCTTCAGTCTGCACTGGTTCACAGCTAGCATCTTTCATCTATGTCTTAGAGATTCCCTTTGTCTCTCTTATGTCAAATCTGTTTCTGGTTAAGTCCCATTATTTCCCTTTTCCTTGGTTTACTCTCACATATTGATGAAGCACATCCTCCACTAGCTTTTGAAAAGGAAAAATGAGAGGTAAGTATTTTGAGACCTTGCATGTTTGAAAATGTTATTTTACCCTTACACTTGATTGCTCTTTTGGCAGAGTATATAATTCTTGAGCAGCCTCCATGCCCAATTTTGAAGGCATCTGCTAGCTTCCTGGGTGACTGTTGGAAGTCAGATGCCATTCTGTTCCTTATCTTTTGTATATATGACCAGTTTTTGTCTCTCTCGAAGCTTATAGCATTATCTTTGTCCCAATGTTCTGTTCCTGGTAAGAGTCCATTCTCATCCCTCGTACCGGGTCCTTGGTGGGGTCTTTCAGTCTGAAAACTGCGTCCTTCAGTTCAGGGCAATTTTCTTGAGCTGTTTCTTTAATGATTCCTCATCCGTTCTCTCTTTTCTAGAATTCCTGTTATCCAGATATTAGACCTCCAGGATTGGTTCTCTGATTTTTATTTTAATTTCCAGCTCTGTCTTCTTGCTGTACTTTCTAGGATTTCCTCAACTTAATATTCCAATTTCTATTGTGTTTTATTTTTATGGTCTCATATTTTTAATTTCTAGAGCTCTCTTCTCTGAAGCTTCTTTTCTTTAATAACATCCTATTTTTGGTTCATGGTTACAGTATCTTCTCTCTTGAAAATACTATTTGTGTGTGTGTGTGTGTTCATTCACACAAATTCATTCACACACACACATTCTTTAGAATTTTCTTTTGGGCCTGACATGGAATACTCTTCCCTACTCCTGCTTGAAGGGCCAAAAGCCTTGGCTGCCAGAGTCTGCTTTTTTCTCTCTTTTTGCAGCCCCATGCTCTTGCTTCTGTAATCCATTTCTGTATTAGTCAAGACTATCCAAGTTATCCTTTTTAATATGCTGTTTTCTACTGTGCCTAATTTGCTTCCTTTCTCTCTTTAAAACCTGCTCAAAGTGCAAGACCTCCAGAAGTTTTGCTTTAATTCCCCAGCAAACCACCAACTATTATAGGGTTCCTTTTAACTTTAATTATATGCATTTATGTTCTCTACATGTATATTTGGTACATGCACTGAAAACCTCGTTTTGTATGGTGCTGTGTACCCCATGGGTGCTAAATAAAGGCTTGCGACTGGCAACTGGAATTACGGTCGGTTAATTCTGCGTCCGTTTATGATATGCCCATTTAGACCAAATTCAGTGTGACATAATTCTTAGAAAAAACGAGTAAACCCTCCGAATAGCAATAATTTCTCCAGCTGAGCCCAGGGGCTTTGGCCGCCTTTGCTCAGACCATCAGAAAAGTAAAGGTGGGGGCAGCGTGGGGAGAGCCTGGCGTGTTTAAAAAAAATTCAGATTCGGAGCTCTGGGGAAGAAGGGAGCTCCTGTCTGATTGAGAACCCCATCTGCAAACCCAACATGTCTTTTCTCGCTGGGAACTTTCCCCTACCCAGGGGAAATCAGTCATCGCGGATTTTACGAAAACGAAACTTGGCGGCTGCCGGGGAACTTCCGGCAGCGCAGCGCAGCGTACAGCAGTCGGGGGGCCGCCGTGAGCGCAGCCATGGACCAAGCCGTGGCCTCCCGGCCCGCGTCGGCCCCCGGCGCCGCCTGCTCCGAGGCGCAGGACGCGCTCCCTCGCCCCACTGGTGAGTACCGCGCGGGGGGCGGCCGGGGCTGGGCGGGGCCGGGCAGGGCGGTGTCTCGCAAATACAGGCCTGGGCCCTGGCCTGCTCTCTGGTCGCGGCCGCTTGGGGGCCCCGGCCCCGCCTCGCGAGCGGAGCCGCTGAGGCAGCGCTGAGGAGCTTGTCTCAGCGGCCCCGTGGCCCCTCCGTGTTCGCCTCCAGCGGCCCTGGGGGCAATTCCGCAGTGGCTCTGCGCCCATACCACTGCCCAGGGCTTCACGTAAGAGGCGGGTATGTCTTCCCTTTACCTCTCCCACTGCTGATGGGACAGCCCATTGCTACTGTCCTGCTCCATTAGCAATACGGGCATCAAGCAAAACCCACGGGAACTCGGGTGGGTTTCCTCTCTAAGCGCGGCTCCACCCACCGGTAAAACACTGCAGTCGCAGAAGTGCCGTGGGAGAGGTAGGCAGGAGGTGGACCCTTTCTTGAAGAGGTAGTCAGCTGGGTCTCAGGAAGCAGTTTGAAAGTTTCCACAGAGAATGTGACTTTCTGGAACCATCCCTTCCTCTCCATTTAGTAGTTCAAGTCTCCAGCGGCCCTCACTCCGGGGTGAGGCAGCAGTCTTCTGAGTGGGCTCCTTCCCTTCGCTTCAACAAGTGTAGGTCTCCTACCCTGTGCCAGGCTCAGGGTTAGGTCCTGCGGATACAGAGATGAGTTAGGCAGACCCTGCCCTAAAAAATCTAATAGGCAACTTGCATATGACCTGGTTAGAAGCACAGAGGCACAAATGAGGGGCTCCTAACAGCCTGGTATTCACGGGAAGCTTTTTGGAGGCAAGGATGCCCGATTTTTTTATTTAAAAGGAGAGTCATCCAGAGGTAGAAAGGTTGAAAGGGTGTTCCGGACAGAGGTGAAGACACCAATAAAGGCCCCAGCCACAAAACATCATATAATAGCAACCACAAGTCAAGCAGTTGAATATTTCATTCAGTATATGTATGGAATACAAGATGAGGAGTTACTGGAGATGAGGTTTCATTCTGATCTTTTCCTCAAACTCCAGACTCCTATAACCAACTTCACAATACCTGGAATGATCTCAAAATGAATATCTCCCAAAGAGAATGCTTGTTTCTCCATACATACCCACATACTCCAAACCTGCTCAACCACCAGCCTTCCTCATTCCATTCACCCAGTTACTCAGACCAAAAACCTTAGCGGCTCCCCCAGTGCCTCCTTCCTCCTCCACCTCCCGTCTACTGCATTAGTCAGACCAGTCAGTTCTGTCTTCAGAATATATCTCGAGCCTGACCACTTCTCACCACCTCTATCACTACCAACCCCAAACCACCCAAGCCCAAGCCACTATCATCTGCTGACTGGACTATTGGTCTCCTGGCTTCTACTCTACTCTCAGACAGAGAGGCCTGCACAGCAAGGAGAAAGGTCTTTAAAAAACAAAAAGCAAGTGTGATTTTCTTACTCAGAGCCCTCCAATAATCTCATTACTTTCAGAATAATTTCTTACTGTGGACTGCAATGCTCCCCATTTCCTGATCTGATCCAGCCCCTGCCCATCTTGATGACTGCCACCCCTCACAGCCTTGTGTGTCCTCTAAGCCCCCAAACCTGTCCCTGCCTCGAGGTCTTTCTATTTGCATCTGATTTCTCACTTCCCCATCATATTAAATGTCTGCTAAAATGTATTCTCCACAGCCTTGCCTGCCCTTAATAGAGCACTCCCTCTGCCCACCTGCCCTCATTACTTTCTACTTCCTTCCTGCTCTATTTTTCTTGATAGCTCCTATCGCTACCTGAAAAAAAATACTTGTTTGATGTCTGTCTCTACTACCAAAATGTAAGTTCTGTGAGAGTTAAAACTCTCTTCTTGTTCTCTGCCTTATTTCTAGTGCCTAGAACAGTACAAGGTAAGTTCTCATTAAGTATTTGTTGAAGGAATGAATGGGCTTGTATGTACCCCTAAGGGGCTTGTCTTGTCTTCTGTAGGTGGAGAAGGATCTTTAGCAGGAGAGAAACATGGGCAGATGTGCATTTTAGGTACATCACTCAGGCAGCAACATGAAGAATGGAGTGGAGTTGTGACAGGGAAAGCAGAAGCAGGGAGATGAGATTACCGGTATGGACCAGGTGAAAGACAGGGCAGGGCAGTCCACCTTCCACACTGCTGCCAAAACTCTCTTTAACACACATGTGCAAACACACATACGTACACACAGATCAGGTCACAGTACTTCCAGTGTTAATTAGGACTTGTTGGCTGCAAATATACAGAAACAACTTGATCTAATTTAGTCAAAAGGGATGCTTGTTACTGGGAAGCAGGGAGACCAGAGTCATAGACCTTAGGAGCATGGATGCTGTAGCATTTTCCAGAAAGGGCCAGGAACAAGGACCTGAGAAGCCATCATAAACTTTGACAGCATTCTCCTCTCTCTCTCATTTCTGCATCTCTGAACATAGCTGCTTTGGTCTCCTCTTTCTCTGGTCCAGTTTTCCTGATAATGGGATAGAAGATGCTAGCCTCACAGCCTCCTGGTTTTTACATTTCCTTCTTCAAGAAACCAGCCCAATCTGAATTAAAATTTTCTATTCTGAATTCTGTATATCTGAGAGATGGGCAGGTAGGTCCTCTGGGACTGTCAGCTGTGCCTAGGGAAATGCAATCACATAGTACAAACATGCCTGCTGGTGATCATCCCTCTGTATGATTGTGAGCTAGACAGATACTCTAAAGAAGTCCACTGAACATCCTACCTCTTGGCTGCCCACCACCCTTCCCCTGCAACAAACACATCCTTATTCTTGTTTATACATTCCAAAGCTATCCCCAGTAACGCATTCCAACTATCCCAAATACATATTCAGTCACACTTAACTTCTCCCAAAGTTATATCCAGTCATGTCATCCTGAGACATCGTGATGGAGCCATTCATTTTCCAAGTCTGTCACCAACTTCATTACCAAGCCTCTAGGTAATGTCTACTCCTCCTCTGTTTTGGTCTTCATCCAATTCAGATATCCAGTCACTGGACTCAGTGATAAAGCTGACTTTTCCTACTCCTCTGATATAGAATGGAAGAACTAAAATCGTAAACTGCAATAAAAACTGTTGATCAAAGGAGAAAAAAGGAAGAAATTTCCAAGCCGCCACCATAAATTGGTTGCCAGTCCAGAACATAGACTATACCCTACTGGAAGGGGATTATAAATGGAATTATAGGATTAGTGAATCTCATTCCATCAGCTTCACTCATTTCTTCAGTGACAGAATGTGCTCCTTGGCCATCCTATCTGGCTACCCCAGATTCTGTCCTCTGGGTGGGTTGCCTTTTTCTGGTAGGCTTCAAGACCATCTCTGGGAAGAAAATCATTGAGAAGACGCCCCTGACATCTCTGCAGAGGCTGTGGCGTTAGCAATCCCTTCCTGGGTAGAGCTGGGCCTGGACGTTGCTGAGAGACCAAGATTCACTGTATTGGTTTGAGCTAGTCACAGTTCATGTGTTCGTGGCTTGTAATTTTTCTGTAGCTTCATTCTGTAGAACCCTTCTTGGCTACCAATTTTCATTTTTGAGAATTCTTGTTGGGTCAGTCTCTGTGGGTCCTCAGACCCTGTAGAGCCCTGCTGATCTTCATTGTTCTTGGTCTCAGCTGCTGATGGAGACCAATGGACTCTTCCCTAAAATTCCCCAGCCTCCATGGTACACCTGTCTCTCTCACTGTCTGAATCTATACAGTTCCTGAGTTCACATGGTGAGAGATATCAAATTATCCAAATGTATTTGGTTCATGAGTTCCGGGAAATGCGTAGAAAGCGTTTGGATAGTGAGGGATGCCTGTCAATGTAAAAGTCTCTAATGTGACTCCCCCAACTACAGAGAGTTATGTACCTCTTCCAATCTAGAAGAATAAACAAGGTAGAAGAGCCAAGACCTTTTAGGAAACTGTGATGAGTGGGTGTTTTAGCAGGAAAAAGCCATTAGGGGGAGCCTCTGTGTCCCACCGTGGGATTTTTTTTTTTTTTTTTTGTTTTTTTTTTTTTTTTTTCTGTGGAAGATTAGCCCTGAGCTAACATCTTGCCATTCTTCCTCCTTTTTTTTCGCTTGAGGAAGATTAGCCCTGAGCTAACATCTTGCCATTCTTCCTCCTTTTTTTTCGCTTGAGGAAGATTAGCCCTGAGCTAACATCTGTGCCTATCTTCCTCCACTTTATATGTGGGTTGCCACCACAGCATAGCTGACAAGTGGTGTAGGTCCGTGCCCAGGACCTGAACCTGCAAACCCAGGCCCCCAAAGCGGAGTGCGCCAAACTTAACCACTGTGCCACATGGCTGGCCCTCCACCTTGGGTTTTTGTCCATCAGCACTGGAAACAAACTCCAGATGAGCACATAGCAGTGTTGCCCCCACCTCTGTATTCCCAGATGCCAAGACCCTAGGAGCCTGCAGACTTGGGAGTGCAGCTCAGACAGGCACGGAGTCCCCAGAGCAAGCAAAGGGGGCCATGCTCAGGGATCAGCAGCCTGACAGCTCAGCCCAATGCAGCCCATCTGTCTGAAGGTCCAGCTTTGCACAGGAAAGGGTGACACTGTGCAGAAATGTCCAACTCTTGTACAACAGGGGGCACTGCATATCCTATCAAACATTATTGTATTATTAGGGCATTTTTAAGAGAATTTTAGCACTAGTAATTTAACTGTCTGACACTTTTTTTTTAGCCTGTGTGTTACAAATTTTAACGTCCAGTTGAGTGTTCTTTTAAATAACAACACAGTATTCTATCGAAGTAGATTTTGGACTTGAGGTGAATAAAATATTGGGATTTTTTTTCCCATTTTCACCCTAGGATGGGGGCTTTGTGTTGTCAAATATTAAAATATATTCTAAAGCACTGAAAATTTTAAAGTGTGGTATTGGTGGAGGAAGTGACAGGTCAATGGAAAAACAGAAGTATGGGAACAAAATCAAATATATATTTGATTATATATTAAATCAGTGGCTCACCATTATAAAAATGTTAGATCCCCATCTCATACTTTACAATAAAATATATTTTATATTGGGGCTGGCCCCGTGGCCTAGCAGTTAAGTTCAGCACGCTCCACTTCAGTGGCCCGGGTTCAGTTCCCAGGCGCAGACCTACACCACTCATTGGCAGCCATGCTGTGGCAGCGACCCACATATAAAATAGAGGAAAATTGGCACAGGTGTTAGCTCAGGGCAAATATTCCTCAAGCAAAAAGAGGAAGATTGGCAACAGATGTTAGCTCAGGGCGAATCTTCCTCAGCAAAAAAAAATAAATTTCATGTTAATATTTAATGTAAAAAATAAAAATTCTAGAAGAAAATAGAGGTGTTTTCTAAGTTATGTCCCCCTCACCCAAGAGTAGAAAATATAAAAGATTCATATAATTTCATCAAATAAAACATTTAAACATTCTATATATCAAAGAACATTATAATCAAAGTTAAAAGACCACATATATGGCTAACGAAGGGTTAATATCCTAAATACATGATGAGCACTTATAAATCAATAAGAAAATGGTGAATAACCCACTAGAAAAATGGGCTAGGGACATCAGTGTCAGAGAAGAACTGCAAATGCCACTTGATGATATGTTAAATTCATTATTATAGATTATGATCCACTTCTCTCTGCACTTCATGTTCTTTCCTTTGACATGGTCATCCAAACTTCTGTCCTAGATATACTTTTGTAATACGTTTTAAATCAGGTAGACAGATACCCTTTCATTGTTTTTCAAAGTTTTCTTCACTGTCCATGCCCATTTATTCTTCCAAATAATCATTTTTTCCCCCAAGTTCTTTAAAATAATCTTCTTGGGATTTAAGTTGAAATGACATTAAACCTAAAACTCATTTGGGGCAGGATTGACAGCATTATAACGTCCAGCCGTCCTCTCCAGGAGCACAGTATTTCTATGTTGTATTGAGATTGAGCTTCTTAAAACAATTCTTTCATCATGTTATCCCACTGCTCAAAAATCCTTCCTGGCAGCCTTTCACCATGTTTCTCAAATTCTTTTCCAGCTTCCTTTTCACAGACTCTCGTCTTCAGCCCAGCTGGTTTTCTGTTTCCAGGTCAGACCTCTTGGCCTTTTCCCACATCGCTGCTTCTGTCTGCAACGTTCCTCCCATCCCCATTCCCCTTTCTCTCCATCTCCAGGTTGTACCAGCCCAAGGCCCATGGCCTTGACAACACTCCATCCCACAGGGAGCACTTCCTCCTCTGTATCCAGAGCATGTATTGTAGTTCTCACTCAATTAGCAGTTATATTACTTTGTGGCATTGATTTTTTGTGTGTTTGTGTGAGGAAGATCAGCCCTGAGCTAACATCCACGCTAATTCTCCTCTTTTTGCTGAGGAAGACTGGCTCTAAGCTAACATCTATTGCCAATCC